TATACTTGTACATGTGCGTATTCAGGTGGCGAAACCCACACTTAGAACAAATCACATTTTGCCATTATCAATTAATATATATATATATATAAATTTAAATATATATATACACATTTGAACCGGTATATTTGTATACGTTTGTGTCTATACTTGCACATGCGCGTATTTAGGTGGCGAAACCCACACTTTGAAAAAATCACATTTTGTCGATATCCATAAATATAAATATATATATATATATTTATATATTTATTTGAACCTATATACATGTACACGTTTGTGTCTATACTTGTATGTGGGCGTATTCAGGTGGCGAAACCCACACTTAGAACAAATCACATTTTGCCATTATCCATTAATATATATATATACACATTTGAACCTGTATATTCGTATACGTTTGTCTCTATACTTGTATATGGCGTATTTAGGTGGCGAAACCCACTCTTAGAACAAATCACATTTTGTTGTTATCCATATTTATTTACATACATACATACATACATACATACAGACGTACATACATACATACAGGTTAGAACCTATATGCATATATACGTTTATGTCTATACTTGTATATGTGGGTATTTAGGTGGCAAAATCCACACTTAGAACAAATCACATTTTGTCGTTATCCATATATATGTATATGTATATATTATAGCGTATATAATATATACCCTTATACATGAAAGATACCTAATTCCTTGCAGAACTACATACATAGAATATAGGTCCACAGTGAAAATGTTCATCCATTTTTTCAGGAACACCACCTAATTCCATTGGTTTTCATTGCAAAATAGTTTCTTTTCATAGTTCTAGGACACCGGTCGTGGGGGGTAGGTACCCTTCGGTGAGCCTGAAAACTCACTTTTTCATACAATATAAAAAGAAATTGATCATTTCGGGGGACCTGTTTTTTTGTTAAAACTTTCTAGTTTAGGAACTTCAGACATCCAGGGTTGCTACTCTCCAAAGGGAATTACATATATGATATATACCCTTATACATGAAAGATACCTAATTCCTTGCAGAACTACATACATAAAATATAGGTCCCAGTGGGAATATTCATCAATTTTTTGAGGCACACCACCTAATTCCATTGGTTTTCATTGCAAAATAGTATTTTTCTTTCATGGTTCCCCGGCACCGGTCGTGGGGGGTACCCTTAGGTGAGCTTGAACAATTTTATGAAGGATTTGATGGTAATTTAGTGGATTTTAGTGGGGTGAAAAGTTTGAAAACTGTCCATTTATGTCCATTTATGCTGCAGTATCGGTGATGTTTGGATTTAAAAAAAATACAAAAAAGATCTTCCAGAATTGAAAAATATTCTATGTACACTCCTGGTGTATTCTATGTACACCGCTTTTTTCAATTCTGGAAGATGCACCAAACAACCTATATCTGTTCAATTCTAAATTCTATGTTCGGGTACCTCACTATATAAATATAGTATATACACACATTAGAACCTATATGCATAGATACATTTGTGTCTATACTTGTATATGTGCGTATTTAGGTGGCGAAACCCACACTTAGAACAAATCACAGTTTGTCGTTATCCATAGTACTTATATATATATATATATATTGTATATATAAATATAAATATTATATATATATATAAATTATATATATATATGTACATTTGAACCTATATACATGTATACGTCAGTGTCTATACTTGTACATGTGCGTATTTAGGTGGCGAAACCCACACTTAGAACAAATCACACTCTGTCCTTATCCAAATGATATATATATATATATGTAAAAAAAACACACTTGAACCTATATACATGTATACGTTTGTGTCTATACTTGCATATGTGCGTATTTAGCTGGCGAAACCCACACTTAGAACAAATCACACTTTGTCGTTATCCATAATATACATATATATACACATTAGAACCTATACATATATACGTTTGAGTCTATACTTGTACATGTACGTATTTAGGTGGCGAAACCCACTCTTAGAACAAATCACATTTTGCCATTATCCATTTAATATATATATATATACACATTTGAACCGGTATATTTGTATACGTTTGTGTCTATACTTGTACATGTGCGTATTCAGGTGGCGAAACCCACACTTTGAACAAATCACATTTTGCCATTATCAATTAATATATATATATATATATATTATAAATATATATATATATACACATTTGAACCGGTATATTTGTATACGTTTGTGTCTATACTTGTACATGCACGTATTTAGGTGGCGAAACCCGCACTTTGAAAAAATCACATTTTGTCGTTATCCATAAATATATATATATATGTATTTATTTATTTATTTATTTGAACCAATATACATGTACACGTTTGTGTCTATACTTGTATGTGGGCGTATTCAGGTGGCGAAACCCACACTTAGAACAAATCACATTTTGCCATTATCCATTAATATATAAATATATATACACATTTGAACCTGTATATTCGTATACGTTTGTCTCTATACTTGTATATGGCGTATTTAGGTGGCGAAACCCACTCTTAGAACAAATCACATTTTGTTGTTATCCATATTTATTTACATACATACATACATACATACATACAGGCATACATACATACATACATACAGGTTAGAACCTATATGCATATATACGTTTATGTCTATACTTGTATATGTGGGTATTTAGGTGGCGAAACCCACACTTAGAACAAATCACATTTTGTTGTTATCCATATATATATATATATTATAGCGTATATAATATATACCCTTATACATGAAAGATACCTAATTCCTTGCAGAACTACATACATAGAATATAGGTCCACAGTGAAAATGTTCATCCATTTTTTCAGGAACGCCACCTAATTCCATTGGTTTTCATTGCAAAATAGTTTCTTTTCATAGTTCTAGGACACCGGTCGTGGGGGGTAGGTACCCTTCGGTGAGCCTGAAAACTCACTTTTTCATACAATATAAAAAGAAATTGATCATTTCGGGGGACCTGTTTTTTTGTTAAAACTTTCTAGTTTAGGAACTTCAGACATCCAGGGTTGCTACTCTCCAAAGGGAATTACATATATGATATATACCCTTATACATGAAAGATACCTAATTCCTTGCAGAACTACATATATAGAATATAGGTCCCAGTGGGAATATTCATCAATTTTTTGAGGCACACCACCTAATTCCATTGGTTTTCATTGCAAAATAGTATTTTTCTTTCATGGTTCCCCGGCACCGGTCGTGGGGGGTACCCTTAGGTGAGCTTGAACAATTTTATGAAGGATTTGATGGTAATTTAGTGGATTTTAGTGGGGTGAAAAGTTTGAAAACTGTCCATTTATGTCCATTTATGCTGCAGTATCGGTGATGTTTGGATTTTAAAAAAATACAAAAAAGATCTTCCAGAATTGAAAAATATTCTATGTACACTCCTGGTGTATTCTATGTACACCGTTTTTTTCAATTCTGGAAGATGCACCAAACAACCTATTTTTGTTCAATTCTAAATTCTATGTTCGGGTACCTCACTATATAAATATAGTATATACACACATTAGAACCTATATGCATATATACATTTGTGTCTATACTTGTATATGTGCGTATTTAGGTGGCGAAACCCACACTTAGAACAAATCACAGTTTGTCGTTATCCATAGTATATATATAAATATATTAATATATATATATTATATATATATATATATATATATATATATACATTTGAACCTATATACATGTATACGTCAGTGTCTATACTTGTACATGTGCGTATTTAGGTGGCGAAACCCACGCTTAGAACAAATCACACTCTGTCCTTATCCATATGATATATATATATATATAAATACACACACTTGAACCTATATACATGTATACGTTTGTGTCTATACTTGTATATGTGCGTATTTAGCTGGTAAAACCCACACTTAGAACAAATCACATTTTGTCGTTATCCATAATATACATATATATACACACATTAGAACCTATACATATATCTTTGAGTCTATACTTGTACATGTACGTATTTAGATGGCGAAACCCACACATAGAACAAATCATATTTTGTCGTTATCCATAAATATTTGTATTATATATATATATATATACGTTTGAACCTATATGCATTTATACGTTTGTGTCTATACTTGTATATGTGCGTATTTAGCTTGCGAAACTCACACTTAGGATAATCACATTTTGTCATTATCCATAAAATATGTATATTTATACACATTAGAACCCTATAGATGTACATGTGCGTATTTAGGTGGCGAAACCCACACTTAAAACAAATCACATTTTGTCAGTAAGCATAAATATATATACACACATTTGAACCTATATATTGGGCTCGGGCAGCCGCTCATTCTTTTAAGCCATGCACGAAGGTGGTGCATCCTTGACGTGAGACAGTCAAGGCACCTAGAAACAGCCCTTTGGTAGGGCATAACCCTTTTCAGTCAAGCCCATGGCAGGGCCAAAAACCCTAAACCAAAATGCCCATGGCAGGGCAGCTCTACCAGAGCCAAGAAAGGGCGCCCATGGCAGGGTCGCAGCAAAATGGGCCCATGGCAGGACCAAGTCAGCCAAGTGCCATCAAGCATCAAGCTTGAAACTTCCTTTTGCTTCCTCCCCTTCCTTGAGGGCGGGTGAGGTGGGAGCCACAATGCTACCCACAACATCATAAAAGACTTCACATGTCTGCCTCTCCCAAACAGTCGGAGCGACACTATTGGGCTCGGGCAGCCGCTCATTCTTTTAAGCCATGCACGAAGGTGGTGCATCCTTGACGTGAGACAGTCAAGGCACCTAGAAACAGCCCTTTGGTAGGGCATAACCCTTTTCAGTCAAGCCCATGGCAGGGCCAAAAACCCTAAACCAAAATGCCCATGGCAGGGCAGCTCTACCAGAGCCAAGAAAGGGCGCCCATGGCAGGGTCGCAGCAAAATGGGCCCATGGCAGGACCAAGTCAGCCAAGTGCCATCAAGCATCAAGCTTGAAACTTCCTTTTGCTTCCACGCACCCCACCGGAATAAGCCCGGTGCTCGTTGATGAAAATCGATGAATGCTGTGCCACCTTAAACTTTGCCGCCCAAGTCATCTTTAACCTGGGGATCATAGCCAGGCCATCCGAGATGTAAATGCGGGCCACATTGGAGTTTTTCCACCTCCCACGAATGAGCGTACGCTCCATAAGGCCATGGCTCTGCATCTCGTATGTAGCCCCGCCTCGCCTGAGGCTGTAAGGCCTGAACCCCAGGGATGAGATTTCTAGGGCAGCCAAAATACGCCTGAATAGATCTCGAAAGCAGGAGCCACTTCGGTCCCAACAAGGTGTATTGTCAAAGCCCTGAGATTGCCTGAGCTCAACCATGGCAGTTACCGTGGCCAAGGTAGACTGGTCTCGAATGGTGACACTCTCCCTGGTGTTGTGACGGATGCCACTCTTACTAGAAGGAATGGATACCAGTCCCACCTGAGCATCAAGGATAAAATCACAGGGCCTGACCTGCAACAGCTCCCCAGTCCTCATGAGACAGTGGAAGCCCAACAGGAGCAAGGCGGCCATAGAAAGCTCACAGATCGAGATACAGTAGCCCGCCATAGCCAACACCAGGTCTTGGGTCAATGGTGGGGCACGGCAGGGTACCTCATAGCGTCTCCAGATGGAGAAGAGCCGCCAGGATCTGATGAGTTTTCCTTTCGTAAAGGGCTCGAAGTAGTGTAGCCCACTAAGCGCATCAGCTATGAGGTGAAGCGGGGCGCCATCCTCGAATTCGGACTGAATCCAGTCAGAGATAAGGTCGTCAAGCTGTGCCTCCGTATTGACCTGTTCCAAGACTGGACGCAGTCGTGAAACTGCGTGGTGATACCTGTCCAAGGTGGCGGACGTAATCCCGATGTCGGCTAGGACCAAATTCAGCCTGGCGCGACGCCTGTCAGCCTGGCTGGCTAATCCTGGCCAGCAATGATTTCGCTGGTCACGACCGACTGTCATGATCAGTCGGGTTGTCGGAGGATTCGACGTGGATCACGATAAGGTAGATGTCAAAGGCCAGCAACAGCGTCGAGAGTCGCGCCAGCAATGGCTTGAGCATTCGGGATGAAGTCCTACCCTTGGCGATGATGCTCATGCAGATATAACTGTCAGTGAGGTGAAATATTCTGGTTGAAACCTCTCGCAAATGCTTAATGCGCCATTCGACTGCATGTATGATAGATCGAAATTCCAGGCTATTGATATGATCATGTTTGTCCCACCTGTAAGCGAATACCTTATTCCACGCCCACCAATCGGAGGCGGCGCTTTGCCGAGGGTAATTGCGGGGGTTGAGCAAACAGCCACTGGAAATTCGAACATCTGAGCCCGTGTGATTCGCCCGTCGCAGCAAGGCAGCATGCAGGTCAACAACCCCAGGCTTCAAGGAGGTGGTTCCATATGCCAATTGACGTTGCAAAGGAATTTTAATAGAAAGGTCACAACAAAAACCCGGTGCCATTCCCATGCGATCATTCAGCATCTTGTAGTCAGGGATGTTAACCCATTCCTTACACAGCATGGCCGCCACAAATGAAAAAGAATAGCAACTAAAGCTGTCTCCTACCAGGCTCTTGCGGACATCTTCAAATTCCTGAGGGGATCTTTTGATGTCATTGGCATTCCAACAGAGGATAGTATGTTCATATCCCAAACCATGAAGGAGTTCTCTTTCGAGGGCATTGATGAGTCTCCATCGGTCACCTTTCCAAATAACAAACTTCTCATGGTATTGATAAGGAGGGAACCTGTATTCGTCAGCCATCCAACGCATTTGTCCATTGTGGTCCACCCTGTGTAATCCCGCCGGTTTTGGTGGCGGGCGAGCCCGCTTGATACTCTTCATGCAAGTAGGTAGGATAGCGCCCTCCCAAAACCCAGGCCAGTCAGCTTCAGGGTCCAGCCATTGAAAAAGCTCAGGGTAAGCCTGGGTAATGCGGACCTCAAACCAGCGCTCTTTTTCAACCACTTCAACCCCGTCCATTGCGACAAGGTCGGTGTTCAACCAGCAAAACCTAGGGCGGTGAATGGGAACCACGTCACAAGGATCCAAGCGAAGCGGCTTGACCTGCAGGGCGCGAGAAATCTCAGCCGCTGCCGCCTCATCCATGCTTGCCACGTTCTCAATAGCGAACTTGACCTTGAAGGCATAGCCAAAGGTTTTCCGAATGTCCTTCAGGATCCTCGGAATCTCATAAAAGAGCTGGCTTTCACTTCCATCCAGGTTAAGCCGCCCAGCCTTGACACTGCTGAGGTCCACGCAAGGGAAGCCTCCCCAAAGGTGTATTTCCTCGATTTGAGGGTAGGCGTAGCGCCATTCCTTGATCATGTCGGGGGTGATTGACCTCACATCCCCCAAGATCTTCACGTGTGGCCATCTTCGGCTGGTAACTCTGTTTGCTGCCGGGTTCAACTCAAAGGACAGGCCGACCATCGGGGTGACACCGCACAAGTCATAGCACCGAAAGGCGCAACCCACTCCATTGAATAGGGAGATTGCCAAAACAGGGATAAGTTGGCCTCCAGACAGGTTAAGGGAGTCCACCGCAGCAAATTCCTTTCCGGATTGGGTCAAACATGTGCTGCTGCCAACCGCTCCTCCAGTGGAGCTAGCGTCACTAGCTGTCGTGGTGGCACTGATCTGGGCCCTCAGATTCGAGTGGATGAGGAGTCCGGCAACACAACAGCCAAACAGCTCTCCTCTCGTCTTGGCCTCAACGGAAGGCCCAGAGGCTTGACCCGAGATGAAGGCCCATGTGCTATCCAGCCACCCCATGGCGGCGCGTCTGAAGGCCATGCAGTGGGTCCTCGGCCTGCAATCACTTGCGTCCATTTCTTTCGCAAGCGATGTTTCCCAATGACAACCAGCGGGGCCTGGATGAGCTTCAGCAACCTCTCAGGGCTAGGGCCCAAAGTTCCCTCCAAACCTTCAAATTGCGCCCCCAGCTCGTGAGCCTCAGAAGCGCCAGCGACCCGCTTCTTGGCCGACGAGAGCACGCCAGCAGAACTCCAGGCGGCCTCCAATTTCTCGTGCATTTGCTCCCCTTGAGCGCTCTTGCCATTATCCCGAACCTTGCTCATGCAGCAGAAATTGTCGAGATATACATGGTACCAAGGCTTGTCCACCTCCTTGGCATCGTCGAGAGTCTGCGTCAGCCAGCCTGGAAGTGGCATGGATCGCCGGACCTTATGAGAGGAGGGCAGACGGCCGATAGTTGTCAGCCGGTCCGCTACCTCCTGCATTACGGCCACCGCGGAATGCCATCCCATTGGGATGACTGCACATCCCGGCCGGTACCAGACGCCCGCCTGGAGCCCAAGGCTTTCGCCAGAAAAACACACATTGAAGCTCAGCATCCTTGACCACCCTGGAGGGATCCTGAATAGATAGAATGCTGAAGACATATCGCTCTGGAAAAACCTCAATGTTTCATCACCATTCAGTACCAACGACAAATATTGGCAGATTGACGGTAAATCAGAGGTAGCTCCTTCCAGTTGCTTAAAGCAAGCGTTAGAGGGTACCAAATTCATTATGGTACGCTGTACTTCTTCCCCAGAGTCCAAAAAGGATCCTTTTCCCACAGCGAACATCCCGTTAAGGACTTGCTGTCCATTGACCACCAAAACATCTTGATCGGCCACCCAGGTGCAAATCCTACGTTCAACGAGCAGTTTGAAAAAGGACATGGAGTGACATGGGTGCACATGAACTTTGGCTTGAAGTTTGACCCCATCTTTAGGCCTGTTCAAAAGGGATTCATCAGGGTGCTCCAAAAACCAACGGGTCCCTTGAGAAACCAAACCCAACGCGTCAATAGACCCTCCATGACTTTCAGGGGGAAGGGCAGCGAGTGCCGCCTCAAAAGAAATCACCTGCATTTTGGGGACCTCCTCCCCAGTATAGCTCAGGAAGCGGCTGGCCAGCTCTTTTTCAGCTTGCGCAGGCGAGCGGTCTAAGCGCAGGTCTGTTGCCAGCGCTCTGGTGGTGCTGCGGCCAATGGTGTCGATGGCCCTCTTCTGGACTTCAGTGGCCTTGCGGTCACAGGGGGCTCGGCCAAAGCCAGCCGCACCATTGAGTCCAAGTATACCCAGCGCCTGCCATATTTCGGCAGCTGAAAGGCCTGCAAAATGCGGCCTGCAAAAATCTTCCAGCCGGCTAAGCTGTGCAGCCTGCTGTACTTTCGTCAGCGCCCCCAAAGGAAGGGGAAAAATGGGACGACTTCTTTGAGAAGTGCCCCGGTGCATGGCTTCGCGGTCTTTGAAACGACCCATCACCATATACCTGACTGTAGGAGTCACGTTCCTCTCCGATTCCAACCTGGGGAAGTTAAACAGAATCCAAGCCATAGCTCTCCCCAGGGCGGCGAAGCTCTGACAACGAGCCGCCAGCATCCTGAAGATAAAACATCCCTTTTCCAGGTGCATCGGCAAGGGCACGGACTGCTCCAGCCCATCTTGCAAAATATGCATCTCCAAATTCTCAGTGGGCTCCAGAGGCGCCTCACCTACTTCTTGCTGGCGTCCTCCTTGTTCTCTTTCCAGGGGTTCGGCTCTCCTTTCGACGACCCCCAGCTGTGCTCTTTGGTTCCGCCCTTTCCTTTTCCTCTGCCCCCGCGGCCCTTTGGGTCGCCTTTGCGTCCCTTGTCTGCTTTGCCCGAAGCTTTTCCGCGCCCGCCGCCGGACCACCATTGGCCTGTGGCAGGATAGCCCTGGCTCTTCAGGACCAAGCGTCTGTGCTTGTGGGCTTCGAGCATGGTCGCGGTTGAGGCTCAGGCGGTCGGCTCCAATGGGAACAGCTCGAGGTAAGAGGCTGTCGCCCAAGAGCCTTCGGCCAGGGCCGTGTGCACGGCCATAAACCGGGAGGCGAGTGCATCCGCCGTCTCCGGAAGTTTCCCACTCCTCAGGAGATCCATCGCTTGCGCGAGCGCAAACAGCTCTCTGAGGAGCGGGGATCCTGGGGCATGGTAAGGCCGAATCAGCAGGGCGAAATAGGTCGCCAGCTTGATGCCCGAAACCACCGAGTGGTCGCCCGCCTCGAGGTCGATCAAGCTGCCCTGATCCATCTGTTGCTGGGCATGCTTGACCAACATCTCCATTACTGATCCCGGCTCGCGCATGGCGCGCTTGCGCAGTGGGGGCTCGAAGCTTAACTCCGAATCGCTGTCGCTTTTGCCCCTCTTGCGGCCCGCGGCCGGGCTGCTTGAGCTGGAGGACCCGCTCGAGCCTGAGCCATCTGGGGGATCGGGGTCTGCTTTGACCTCCTCGTGAAGCAGCCTGCGGTGGCGATCCTTCTTCTTTTTCTTTTTCTTGGACCCCCCTTTTCCCTTCAGAAGTTCCACCAGCTGATGAAGCGGCGAGTCCTTCTCCTTGGCCTTTCTCTTGTCTCGACGAGCCTTGGCCTCTTGTGAAGTAGCCTGCACGGCTTGTGCCAGCAGAGCTGAGGCCGGGTCGTTCTTCGAGCTCAATCTCTTCACCAATTGTGTCGTACCAGAACCGCTTGTAACCTCGGGGCCGGCCACCATCAATATCCATCAATGGGGTCTGCCGATAGGGGTTGAGTGAAGTCCCGGCTCCAAGACGCTTCTTTGCCAGAGCAGAGGCGGTATCGCCTGCTTGAACTCCACCAGCAGCACCCTCTGCGGGCGGGGCACGGGGAGACCCAGCCCCACCTCCGAGGATGCGCTCCTTGGTGCGAGTCAGCAACGCCTTCAGCTCCCCATGCCGTTCTTTTCCATGACCATCTGAAGTCAACTCTTCGTCTCCATCCTCTCCTTCGTCTGAAGGTATGGCAATCACAGGAGGGGACGCCTTCCGCTTCTCGCTGGAACGCAGGGCAGACTTGCGCCGGGGAGCTGCAGCAGGGGCGGAGGCCGCCTTCGCCGCTCTTTTTGCAGCCGCATCGGCTTTCTTCAAGAGAGCCTTCCCAGCGGCGCTGATATAATCGGCCCCAAACCTGTCGAGGGTCCAACAACGGACTCTGGTGGCGTGTATGACATAGATATCCTCGGCTCCGCAAGGATCTTGTGGGCATAGATGAACTGCTCCTTCCTCGATATACTGCACCACTTGGTCTGTGCGTTCTGGCACTTCGCACCCCAGGCAAGTTCCCATCACGGAGAGTCCTGAGGTACTGTCCCCTGAGACCTGACTCACGAGGATTGCAAACCAGCCCTCGCTCGCCCAGTCTATGGAGCTCCCATGAAGCCCCACTTCCAAAATGCAGCCTTCCGGAATGTGGAGCCTTTCCCATTCGGGTGTCTCGCACAATATCTCTTCCCCTATCTCGACCCCAAAATTCATCGGGGGAGGGGCTCTCTCCTCTGTCTTCTTTTTTGGCGCCATCGCACCGGCTAAGGGGGCGAAGGGGCTCGGTCCCAGAAACTATCTGGGGGCCGGTAATGAAACCGCCTGAACGGGTCTTCAGCCGCCTTGTGGTACTGCTGATGCTTGCTCCCTGCACGGTGTTGACGGTGCTTGTTCTTTTTCTTCTTCTTTTTTGGCTCACCACCCGGCTCGTTCTCGTAAACACGGCGGTGCCCACCCCGTCTACTCCGAGACCTGCGACGGCGTCGGCCTTCCCCAGAGTGAGGACGATGTTGGTGATAACCTTCCCGCGAGTGGGCCCGACTCTTGTCAGCCTCACCTCGTGTCCTGTTGGGATCCCGGTCAACGGACTCTTCAGGATGAGTCTCGCGATCGGACGCCCGGCGATTCCCACTGGACCGCGGACGAGCTTGTTCCTCCTCAGGTGGAGGGAGATGCTGCTCCTTTGAAGGGGCACGACCGTAGTCAGCCTCCTCTTCTGCCGGCCGCTGGTCGTCTGAAGGGGCACGACTTTGGTCAGCCTCCCTCTTGACCGACGACTGGTCCGAAGCTCTACGCCTCGGCAGACTTTCGCGTCGATCACTTTTCGCCTTAGGGGCCAGTGTAACCCCGGGCGGTGCACCTGGCAGTCGGCGCTCCTTCTCCTCAGAAGGCTCCCCTGTGTCCTCGGTGTACTCGGAGCTGTCTGCGTCCTCCTCTTTCACGGCCGCCTTAGGATGAGGAGGTGGCGGTGGAGGCTCAGGGGCCGGTGTCGCGGCTCGGCCTGCTCCCTCACCAGCCGCGGCAGGAAGAACCGCCCTAGCTGGGGAAGCAGGCCTCGAACGCCCGCCACCAGCGATCCCGAGCCTGCGCAGGGCCCTCACCTGTCGGGTGGCGCTGACAAGGAGGTCAGTGGCCAGGGCACGTGTCCCGCCAGTCCCCCAAGCCAGGCGCAATTCCCCGGTGATAGCCTCCACCGCCGTGCACGCCAAGCACCAAGTATCAGAAAGATGTGGATCCCCTTGTCCACACTTGTTGCACCTCTTACTCATGAAAACTTGAGCCACAATGCTACCCACAACATCATAAAAGACTTCACATGTCTGCCTCTCCCAAACAGTCGGAGCGACACTATTTGTATACGTTTGCCTTTATACTGTATATGGCGTATTTAGGTGGCGAAACCCACTCTTAGAACAAATCACATTGTGTCGTTATACATATTTATTTATATATATATATATACATATACACATTTGAACCTATATGCATTTATACGTCTGTGTCTATATTTGTATATTTGCATATTTAGCTTGCGAAACCCACACTTAGAACAAATCACATTTTGTCATTATCCATAGAATATGTATATTTATACACATTTGAACCTATATTTATTTATACGTTTGTGTCTATACTTGTATATGTGCGTATTTAGGCGGCGAAACCCACACTTAGAACAAATTGCATTTTGTCATTATCCATAAAATATGTGTATATATATATACACATTTGAACCTATATATATTTATACGTTTGTGTCTATACTTGTATATGTGCGTATTTGGGTGGCGAAACCCACACTTAGAACAAATCACATTTTGCCATTATCCATAAATATATATATATATACACATTTGAACCTATATGCATTTATACGTTTGTGTCGATACTTGTACATGTGCGTATTTGGCTGGCGAAACCCACACTTAGAACAAATCACATTTAGGTTGCAAAATTAGACATCGTGTCCGGGGAATAGCATACATCAAAAATCATGAAACATGCTATTTTGAATGGCAATGTTTGCCAAAATTGTTATAACATGTTGTTTTGAATGGCAATGTTTGCTAAAATTGTTACATAATGGGGTTTGTTTTTGTTCTAAGTGTGTTTGTTTTTGTTCTAAGTAGTGGGGTTCGAATGTTTACGGTTTTTCATTCTAAGTAGTTTCTCCCTGTGATATTTGTCCGAATTTTTTTTCCAAAATTTGTTCTAAGTAGATGTCCGTCGCTATAGTTATGTTAGTTTACCAGAGGCTAGACCGTTCTTCCTGTTTCGGGCTCTACCTGGCTTGTTGCGTTCCGGATTTTTTTTGGGGACTGACTCTGATGGACATAGGGATCAAACCCATCAACAATTAGCAGAAGTGACATGGAAATCGACTTGAAGAGACCATGTTTTTGGAGGTTACAAATAAGTGAGTCATGTGGATGAGGAGTCGCAAACGGAAACTGTCAAACCCCCAAAATTTAACAAAAATTACCCTCCAGTAAATTAACATAGAACCTGCCAGATAGGGGTTGGAAGACTAGTTTCCACTAGAAATTTGTAATTTTCAGGGTCTATGTTACTCTACCAGGGGGTAACTAGAAACTGTATGAAACTGTCGTGTCCAACCGCAAAATGTAGTGTCCAAATGTTGTGAAAACCTCCAATCCAATTGAAATGCTGGTTTTCTGCGGGTACAGAGATGTGAATCACATATCATCTGTAAGGCTATCTGTTTCCCAAATGCTCCATGGTGCTGGTATATTATGGTATATTTACCTACATGTGGGTGATTTTTTGGATATTGATAACTATTCCAATGGAGTGTATGGGTTTATTACAGTGTATATTAATCCTTTCGAGTGCTAGATAACCATACTCTCATCTGTAGCCACATCGACCTACTGCGATTATCCAACTGATCACTTACTTGAGGTACCAGTTGAAAAATGCGGTGTATATAACTATATTATACTATATTATACTATATTATACTATATTATACTATATTATATATACATATATAATTGGTAGATTGCTGGGCCAGTTGGATGTGAATATAACATCACAATACATCACATATTATATTGTGTATAATATAATATATATATATATATATTATAGAATATTATAAGTTATAAACCTCTAAGCCACTAAGCTTTATCCATAAAGAATTTATTCAAAAGTTATAGTCTCGCATCCACCGGGGAAGCCGCGCCAACGCCCTTCCGCCGCTTTCGCCCTTCTAAGCTGCGGCTCAGAGACATGTTGATCCAATTTTTGGTGTCTTCGCTTTCCACAATGGCCACCTGTGAACAGGTGCCCCTTCAAGGCCCTTCCCCAGGTGAGAAATCTGAGAAGGCACATCACCTTGCCACCATGGGAATGGCCGATGGGAATGTGAGAAACATATAGAAACATGGGAAAATGGGCCGATTTCACCATGTCACCATGTGCACAAAAAAAATGCACAAATTGATCAAAAGCCAGCTGAAACACCCACCTGGCCAATCAAAAGTGATTCACAATCTAAAGGCCCCCTCCAGTTCAAGGCCAATGATCTTAAAATCCAATGATCTAAAAAGGAAGAACAACAAGATGGTACCCCCAGCTCTAAGATTCTTAACCCGTCAGTTCATGTTTTCACCCATCCAATGTAGATCTACCAAAAAAATAATCGTTTACCTTGTCAAACGTTCAGCAACTGGGGCGCGATGGGACGCAAAAAAAAGTGGCACCGGCTAAGATTGCACCATCCGACCCTCCGGCAATCAAACATGGCGTGGAAAATCCCTGATTTCGTTCGATGGGTTTTCCAGAAACCCCATGTAGAGGATTCTCCAAGCTGGCCATTAGACCAAAGGCTTCCCATTAAAATCTCCCCGTTGGTTGGTTCAGTCGCCCGAAAGTAGAGGTCTTAAATCCCTAGCTAAGGTAATCCCATAAAATCCAATCAAATCCCAAAAAATCCCATCAAATCTCATCAAATCCCTTGCCTTCTGATCACTAGTCAAGCACGCCAACCAGGTGGTATACTTCGTCCGATCGTCGCTGATGCGTAAGGTCTTCATGACACTTTCCAAGGCCGCTTCCATACCTTTGCATGTCACCGGGGGGTCATGCTTGGTGGCTCATCCCACGGCTCGTAAGTGGGTTAGTTCACCCCAATTTTAAGTGGATTAACCCTACAGAAATACCATTTATAACCGGGGTTATATCCCACTTACTAAGTGGTATCCCATGTAAATCACTGGGGTTATACCCACTTACGAGCCGTGGGATGAGCCATCAAGTGGCCAACCAAAACAGGATCCCGTTAACAAATGGATTGTTTTTTTTGCCGTGGGGGAGGTTGATGGGGGGGGAATTTACCGGAAAACCATGTGTTTCATGGAAACAAACATTGTAGATTTTCTCCTACACCAATCCATTTGCCATTTTTTTCACGGCTTATGGAACATATAGACCATGCGACTGCTATCTTTAGCTACATCAATCGGTCGATCTCTGCCGATTTGGGGGTAAATGTAGCTAAGCATATACACCAGACCAGGAGCAATGGACATCTTCGACTGGATGAACATCGTGAGTTTCTGACTTTGGCTTCATATACCCTTAGGATCCATGTATGGTATATATGCGAACATTTGGGGTACTGTATATTGATGGTAAATGATCATATATATATATATATAGCATATATGGATCCTATGGGTATATAGTCAAAGCATATCAAACCTGAGTCTCATTTAAGTACAAGCCGGCCAACTTCAACCAGGCCCAGGTCCCAACTTAAGCCGCTTGCCCAGGTGCCGACTCACTTAAATTTTGACCAGTGGCACATAGGAATTTTTAAGCCACCAGCAATTTACAGTAACTTACCCTTAGGTCATCAAACATGTTAAGCTGGGAAATCCACGGAAATGAAGGCTTCATGGGAGAATCATCGAACTCAAGGGTGTTTTGATAAAATTTCCACGGTTGACTACCAGGGGGTACTAACTTTAGATCAATTTGGAATAGCAACATCGCCTCTGTATCTATAAGAACAGGAAAATCTTCATGCCACATGGCACGACTTCAAAGTCAGGTGCAAGCATGAGTGGACAGACAGGTGCAAGCATGAGTGGACAGACCCCCACTTTTTTTGTGACTGGGTAGCCTTTGGCGATTCAAGAGTTTGCCATGGAAAATCACCATTTAAGATCATTTAAGATATAGGTAAATCATCGAACTTTTCATGGTCCATGGCTTCCGCAAACTGTGATAACGGAGGGTAAGTCCCCATCAGCCCATCTTCGTTGATTAGTAATATCCCATGGTTCAACCCATTAAATCCAATCTAAATCCCATGAACAATAACATTAAATCCCATGGAAAATCTCATGAACCCCCATGAAATCACCATGAAATCACCAGAAAAAGTCACGATTCATCTGCCTCAAATCCCATCAGTTCCCGTCAAACAGCTCGGGCTCGGCCACTCCCTCGGGCCGCCAAGGGACGCATGTGCCCTTGTCGCCCAGCCGCACGAATGGGTTTGCAGCCGCCCAAGACCAGGTTTTGGTTCAGACTCTTGACCTGGGACCAGGTGCCCCAGGTGCCCGGCGATGCCGAAGGGCTTCTCTCCAGTTCACAATTTTGGAACCCGGTCCAACTTGATTATAATTGATTCATCCCAACATGATTGAAATTTGATCGGGGTGCCAATTCATTATGTGAAGTTGTGCAGGAGTTTTAGAGCGGTCTAACTTTTGTGCATAGGCCTCAGGCTTTAAAATGCACAAAAACAATGAAAACTGGCTCTGCAATAAAATGCCTTGCCACCAAATTCATGCTTGAATGTGCATCCAACATCATCCAATTTCATCCAATTTTGAAGACCCTCAGAAACGCATCTTTAAAAAGAGGTCAGGAAATCCATTTTAGATAGGGGTATTTTAGAGTGAAGGTGCCCAAATATTTAGTGTGTTTTTTTTAAATAGCATTCTATAGCAACAAAATACGGTGGCATTCTTTCGTGGCAATTCCTTAAAATTGCGTAAAAATCCTTTAAATTCCTTAAAATTCCAAAAAACTCCTTAAAACACCTTAAATATCCAAATTTAAAAACATTAAAGATCCTTAAAAATCCTCCGAATTCCTTCAAATTCCGTCAAATTCCTTTAAATTCCTTAAAAATCCTCTAAGGTTCCTTAAAATTCCTTAAATCTCTCTAAATTCCTTAAATTTCCTTATAATTCCTTTAAAATTCCTTAATATTCCTTATAATTCCTTTAAAATTCCTTTAAAATTCCTTAATATTATTCCTTATAATTTCTTTAAAATTCCTTCATATTCCTTAAAATTCCTTAGAATTCCTTAAAATTCGCTGATCTAAAATGACATGCCCAATAACATCGATATAAAAAGATACTGGAAAAACACTGGTTCCATTCTGCAATAAAATGCTCCAAGCAAACATTTTTTTGCAATAAAATGAGAATGGAATTTTAACATGTTAAAAATCATCAGGATTTACCTTTACAATAAAATGCTTAGCCCAACCCCCCAACAATAAAATGACTAGCCTGACATCAATTTTTAAATTCCAATACATTAAGAATTTCGTTTAAACTATGCACAGGTTCACCAGTTCTAGAGTGGAAATTGCCACGGGGATGAAATTTGAGGTATCACTAGGTCGACATGCAGGTCTCTACTTTTCGAAATTTTGCGGGGTAGTTATTAAATTATATCTCATAAACCGACCTGTAATATAGATGTGGAAAACCCAGCATTTGCAAATCATTTTCTGAACGGTAAAAACCCACATGGTGGTTTTCCACTTCTCGTTTTGTTCGTTTACACCAGATTTATGTAGCAAACCTCCTCAAAACGATACACATGTTGGAAAAAACAACTGCCAACAAAAAGTGGTACCATCTGGTTATATCTGGTTATTTGACATAGCCATGGAAAATCAACATTTTTAATAGGCACACCATCTATAAATTGGCCATCTATACCATGGCGACATGTTAAATAACCAGAGGGTAACAATTTCCATCTTTTTTGGGCAAACAATCGCCAGAATGACAGCACATGCTGTCACCTGCAGCCACTGCAGCCACGTGACATTGTACAACAATTGCCGAAAGCTCACCTGGATACATCGACAACCATGGCTGAGATGTCATGTCACAACACGGGGCCCCCGTTTATGATAGCTAAGTTGGTGCAAACAACTCCAATTTCACTATGGTTTATGATACGTCCAACCCATTTTTCTGTGGTATTTACGGGCTTTAAAAGCCCACTTATAACATCTAACTGGGGGGGCACATTGTAGCCATTGAACTCGTGGGACTTGACTTTCTCAATGACTTATAGAATCTTATAGCTGCTTGGTGGTTGAGCCACCCCTCTGAAAAATATGAGTTCGTCAGTTGGGAAAATATATTCCCAATATATGGAAAAAATAATCCAAATGTTCCAAACCACTAAGCAGTTATATAAGTGGACTTCATTCACGGACTGGACACCTCTCGTCAAAGCAGCCCCTAAAACTTCAAGTTGGGATCTAACATGCTACAGCCTTGAACCATGGGGACTCAACCACTTACCCTCCGTTCATCATGTAACATGGCGTGCTGGAAAATCCATCATTTAGTTCAATGTTGTTTCCCAGCTATAACTCTCCATTTGACCCATCCCCTGATCACATTGAATACCCCCTATAAGTCAATAATTTTCAGGGGAATGGGATAAAGAAAGGCCTGCTTTGGGGCTACAGTACATCTTCATCTTCTTCCGACTGTTTTTTTTTTTTAACAGAGCGGAGGGAAAGTCTTGAATAATACCGGATACCCTCTGGAAATCAAACATACTGGGGGGAAAACCATGGTTTTAGCTGGAAATCATCTGAAATGAATAGAATATGATAGAAATGTTCCATTACAAGTACCATGTCTGATAAAAGCTTGCCTGGCGGGATCTATACAAAGTCAAAGTGGAAAAAAACTGGGCGAGAAACCCCAAAAAGCAGGGATTGGCATATTTAGAAGGCTGTCATGTCTGGCCAATTTCTTCACTGGTTCTTTATTTCAAGCCATCCAAAAATATTAACATTCTTATCATCCCAAGTACGGACTATATGTATTATATATATATAGCAATATCATTTTGAAGCCCCAACCAGTTCAGCATTGTTATATATACCCTCTGGTTATGACTAACAGTTCGCCATGGAAAATCACCACCATTTTTAAGTTCGGTAAACCATCTATTTCGATTAGGGCCATGGCTTAACCATGGCGAACTGTTAAATAACCAGGTCGGGTATATAATATCATAGCCATCATCTCCTCCGCCGGGCCGGTGCCTCCCCCATGGGTGACGGGGCCAACGAGCCGGCCAAGACTTGTGCGTCGATGCCCAAGACGGAACTACTACCTCCGAGCCGAGCGAATTTGACGGATTCTGGGGTGATCTTTAAATGGTGAAGAAGAACCACTCCTTATTTTTATACTTATTTCTATATCTAATCAATAACTATATATATCTATATCTATATAGTTTATTTTTTATCTACAATAAATCTCTATTATATATATAATTCTGAATCATTTTATCCATATTTATCCCATTTGTCCCAACAAAGATCAATTGGACAATTTGTTGAAGAAATCATCAAGACCTCACCTCGACATATAACGACCACGTCGCCACGTCGCGACGGAAAATCATCATGGTGAATGTACGGGGCATTCGAAGAAGGCTGCACTTCTCAGGTGAGTGAATTTCTATGAATTACCATCTGGTTATGACTAACATAGCCATGGAAAATCTCTTATAAATGGAGGGTTTTATGGGAAAATCATCTATGAATGGGCAATTTTCCATGGCTATGTTAAATAACCAGAGGGTAGATGATTTGTATATAAATATATAATGTGTATTACAGTACAATTTGTCCAGATAGATATCTCATGACTGACCCAGCAGTTCTTTATAAACAAACTTATCCACCATAAACGAGTCGTGGTGTCCTCAAATTATAATAAGTTGCTCTATAAACCCACCTTAGTTTACCTAAATATATAAGATATTGGATATATCACCATAAACATCTATAAACCCACTCCTTAACGTTCAACCAACTTGTTGCGAGCCAACACATGGGGGCACTATCTTGGTATGTTACCCCAACCATCTCATGATATATCCACCACAAATCCAGCAATACTATCTATAGGGTGAATGGGAATTTCAGGATCCTAAAATGGAGGTACTGTACCATATAAGGCCATATTTTGTGGGGATATTCCCTTACATAGGCCTTATATATGGTAGGTACCTCCAATCAATCGGTTCCTGAAATGGCCATCGATAGGGGGCTTGATCCATCTTGATCCTTCTTCTCATGGCCAGATTTCGAAGATGAACCAGGGCAAAAACTGTGGCACCAGCTTCCAGCAGCCATGGCTATGGGTCAAAATTCCCAGATCATCCCCTCAACGAAGCAACACAACATATATGATCCACAAGACGGGCTTCCCGGAACAACATAAGGGCAGCCAAATTCTTTGAAGTTCTGAAAAAAACCAAAAAACATCTCCGATGTTTTCACTCCATCTGAGTGGTTTCCCATCTGAAATATCTGAAAGTCACGAATAAAATCATCATCCACATTTCTAGGGTTGAAACATAAATACCGTGGAAACCACCAGAAAACTCACCATAAAACTCGACAGCACAAAAAAGGCCGTTCACCGTCACTGCCAAGGTGCTGGGATCTGTCATACACACCTCCCCGGTGCAATGCCATGGTCATGGTGGTCTGGACTGATTTTTTATGTGATTTGAAGTCATCTGAAAAGCAATTTATTCAGTGATGTATGAATGTACCCCAGAGGATCCATGTATGGAATATTTACCTACATTGACCCCTAAAGTAATTTAAAATAATCCCAATGTAGGTAAATACTTAGGGTATGTACGTATCTATATTTATATATACTGTATATAACAATGTTGTGCAATTATTAGTATCATCACATCATTCGGTCAAGAACCGGCGAAATTTTGGTGGGGCTTCCTAGTTCATGTGGCAAAAAACATGTAGACAATGAGGTCGTGTATGAGAGAGGTGCAACCCATTACAATAACCTACCAGTTGGACATGTTGAGCAACGTTCATTTGTAACTAGCTTGCGACCACATGCAAGTTGTACATGTGTTGACCGGTTTTCTAGTTGCTAGAACTTCATTGTCCCTTGCTGCAGGGCCGCTGTGACCTCTTGCAAGCCAATTTTGGGTTAGAAATCAATCCGTCAATGTTTGGAATTTGGAATATATCAATGAGTCTTTTGGCTAAATACAAGCGTTCACAGCATTTGATTTCAATATTCAGTTCCTATTATTCATTGGAAAATAGACATGTTGAATGCGTGGAAATTATGCTTAGGAAACTGCATCTTTTTCCCATCAAAGAAACAGTTTTATATCATTTTGGGGTTTAAATTATTCTCTGTTGTGTGGTCCGGGCATATCTTGTGAAACCTACAACAAAAATGTCTCCTAACATCGCCTCACTATTTTGGATGATGAGTCTGATCATCATCTGAGATAATACAAAAATGAAACTTCTGTTTTTACTGGATAATTGATTTCCAATTTATAAGCAAAAATAGTTTCCCATAGTTAATCATAAATGAAATTTAACTTGAATTCCCATTTATAGCCAAACATAAACCGTTCACCGTTAACCCTTAATCCTACCAAACCAAGATCGACCAAGTTCCCCAGTGCCTAGAAAGGACTGAAAAGCTGTCTAGAGTACGAACATGCTGATCAGAGAGTGCATGTTTGCTCGGGTAAATAAATTTGATGAGACTATTTGCAGATTCCACCCCCATTTTTTGAGGTTGAAAGATGTTAAACCATATGAAACCATGTGACAAACACCGTTTTCGTGGGCGTTCTTTTCCAATTTTTTTGGGGGTTTGTTGTGTTTTTGTGGTCCATAGTGTTCTTGTTTCCATAGTTGTCCATTTTTCTTGGCGTTTTTTCCATGGCTTTCCCAACAGCCAGCCATAGCCAGCTCCGAGCAGGCGAGGCGCAAAGGAGTCGCGGGTCTGATCTCTGAGGCGCTGTTCGCGCAAGCGCTGCTCCTGAGGCGACCATGGAAAGTCGCTGTTGATGATAGGTATAGATGGCTCTTTTATAGCTGGTTTACCTATTAAAAATGGTGATTTTCCATGGCTATGTTAAATAACCAGATGGTATATACTGGTTGGTGGTTGACCTAATTACCCCTCTGAAACATGATGGAGTTCGTCAGTTGGGATCATTGTTCCCAATATATGGAAAAATCATCTAAATGTTCCAAACCACCAACCAGAATATTACTACGATGATTAGCATACTAATGATTAGTACAACGCATGGTTTATCATTATTTTTTATAATATATAATATAACACTAATGATTATCATTATTGTTCATAGTATACTAATGTCTGTCATTACTTTTTATTAAACATGTTTTATAGTATACTAATTATTATCATTACCTTTATAGTTTACTATATAATGATTGTGATCATTCTCATTGTAGTAGTCTTAATCCTGCATGATGATCTTTAGTATACTAATGATCATCATGCAGGATTAAGACTACTACAATGATGAACTATTATATCATATGCAAATGCATATAAATGAATTCTAGTATAATGTGGTTAAAACAATGCCATTTATGCTATCCATGACTGGGATTGTTTTTTTTGTATATTTGTTTATAACATCTGATTAAGATGTGAAATTGGGAATGGTTTATGATTGCTTTACCAACATTAACAATGATTACCATGAATGATTGAGATAATATATATCTATCTGGTTGGTGGTTTCAATCCCTCTGAAACATATGAAAGTCAGTTGGGATGATTATTCCCAATATATTGAACAAATGAAAAATGTTCCAAACCACCAACCATATATTATATATATAATACATAATTATTAGTATATGTTATTTGCAAATTAATTGCCATTAAAATTTAAATTATGAATGGTTATGAACCTTATGAGAATGACTAATGATGATTCAGGTGTGTTTTTGAAAATAGTGAAATCCCAGTGAATCTGGGTGCACTATTCTATATTCTAGTATAGTAGGGATTGCTGATGTTAATCATCTTGTATTTATATATATATATATACATATTCCTTCCGCTGCCTGATGGGCTTGTAATCCGTTATGAATTGTGGGCTCTGATTGTTTTTTTATACGTTTTTTGTTGCTTCCGGTATAATTATTGTACACTTAGAACATATATCTGGTACTGCATAGTTAGAATATGAATGAAGTATTTGGACCTCAGGGCTAGATTCCCGCAGGACAAATCACATATGCAAATGGATCGCAACCCTCTACTGAATGGTCATGGTGGGATGTTTTTCAAGCCGTTTGTGTTTCTGTGCACGTCCAAAACTGAGGTATACCCTCCGGTAAACTAACATTACTATGGAAAATCACCATTTTTAATGGGTAAATCAACTATTTCTATATTTCTATGGCAATTTTCAATTGCTTTTTGTATGTTTACCAGAGGGTCCCCCAAATGGCCCCTTGAATAAGCAAGTCATTTTGTCTTCCACGAGGTTCCAGGAGGGTGGCCCCCTTGCCACCTTTGATGAGAGGGTACACCTTGCTTTATGGTGATGTTTATGGCAAATATATGGTAAAAATATGGTAAATATCCATTAAAATGGCAATTTGCTCGTTATTTATGCCAATTATATCTGGTTGGTGGTGCAATCACCATCTTGAATAATATGAAAACCACCAATGGAAGGTTCCAATATATGGTTTCCATATATCAATATATCAATGGTTTCCATAATATATGGTTTTCAACGGGAAGGATGACATTCCCATATGAAATGGAAAGATAAAACAATGTTTTAAACCACCAACCAGTTATCTTCAGAGAAAGCCTCTTATACCTTGGTTTTCACACCAACCTCCCCGGAAAACTATAGCGAGCTGATTCATACGGGAATCAGGGGAACCCACTCTGCTGTTCACAACAACAATAGCGGGGATTTATGAATGTCCATTCTGCCAAAAAAACACACATATATATATAATATATATATATGCCAAAAATAGTGTAGTTCATTGTAGTTCATAGGCCCTGACATGCGCAACGCCCCATCATGACCCATCCAACAACGCCCCCCTCAGCCATTTTTCCTCGGATTCGAAGAGGTCCGATCTCACAGCCTCCAACAGCCCAGGAAACGAACAAGAAACACATTCAATGGGAATAAAAAAGGATCCGATAAAATGGAGGTACGTTAGTACCAAAAGAAGACCATATAAAATGGGGGTATATCATGGTATATCCCCTGAAAAATAGCCCTGAAAAATAGGCCTCGGAAATATGGTAGGAACCTCCGATCAATCGGTTCCTGTTGCATGGCCATTGACACATTCACATTTTGAGAAAAAAAACATCCAGAAATTGGATCCAAATGCACATGTAGCTACTTGGTGGCTCATCCCACTTAGTAAGTGGGATATAACTTACTAATTATAAATGGGATAAGTAGGGTTAATCCACTCATAATTGGCGTTATAACCCACTGACTAAGTGGGACGAGCAACGAACTATATCATCTGCAGCTATCCTCGTAAGGTCCCCGAAAATAAGATGATCTCCACCGGCTACTGCCTCCTGCAAGCTTTGAGTGCTGCTGTACAGACTTGGTACCTGGGGCGCGCTCAGAATCGGTGGTTATCTCATCCAGAATGATCACCTGAATGTTATCAAATTTCCCATGACGGATCCTAACGGTGCTGGTAGAAAAATGCTAACATGACTGGGGTTAATCTGGATGGGATCCATGGCACACCATTTTTTTCGCAGCACCAGTCGGATCCGTCATGGGTTTTGAGGATATACACTATCTAGCAGGAAATTATCATGTCATACTGTCATACTGAGTCATACTCCAACATTCTGTGAACCCAAGATTGCTGCTGGCCAACCACCTTTATTGAAGGCCTCCGTCAATGACCACCAAAGCTTCAACCAATTCATGTCAGATACATAGATACTTCCCAAACAAAACGAGCAAGTAGAGTCCTTGTTCATAACATGGCACACCTGCCAAGTCCTGGTATCTCAAGATGTCAACCTGTCAACATCGAATCCAGCAGCAAAGTGTTCCTCTGAAAGTCCAGCATGCCCACTCAAACCCATTGATTGTCACCATTTTCCATATGGGTGTGTAAACAGAGTATACCACCCTGTTTGGTCATTTTACCAATGTTGATGAACCAATGGTTTTAGAAGTGCCCCAGGGATCTTCTGGCAACCATTCAAATTGGCACACAAGACGCACACATAGTGTGTATCAACGGGATAGATTACAGATTCAGCTAGATCAACACGACATCAACACGAAAACTGCGCCCAGTGCTCCAAGACGTCATTGGAATTCCAAACGGATTGAATGAAACAAAGAGTTCTTCCATGGCAAACCTGACGGTAACCTAAGATACCCTTGCCACAGAATCAAATTAAAAACAATGAAACGCATATATTTTTCAGCAGAATATGACACATTCCTCCATCACAATGGCTAAAGGCTAAAAGTGAACTATTGAAGTATTTCACCAACCAATCCCCAGTTCGTTTATCCAGTTTAATCTCTTTGTCCTCTTCTTACATGCTCCTCTACAACCCGATTCATCCCCAAGTTCAAGTTCCAGTAGTTACCCCCAGCATATGCCTCCTCTATCACGTGTCATTCGGGTTGTAATATGTTGTAAAGCAACTAAAATAGGATAATAGATCGCAAACCTAACCAAGAGTTGCCTTGACCTTTCGACTATAGCCTCTAATTGTTGACCCGTACCCTTTCAAGTCATCAACTCACGATCGAACCTTAGGCTCGCACTTTAGATACCCTGCAGAGGGAAACTTACTGTATTGTCGACCTGATATAGCATAGATTACACTTATATATAATATAAACGACTTGTATTGTGTGTTATCTGGTTGGTGGTTTCAACCCCTCTGAAAAATATGAAAGTCAGTTGGGATTATTATATCCTATATATGGGAAAATCATCCAAATATTCCAAACCACCAACCAGATATACATAGAGGTAGCAATTATAGCAATCCCCCAAAAAGATGCCAAAAGTGTCAAACCAGGCTGGTAGAAAAACTTCGATGATGGGTTCTTCGGGAGGTTTACCTCCTCCTAAATCGCCAGGAAAGACCAAGCGTCAAACTCAGGGCAGCCCCGCACCGGCGCAAAGGGCATCTCGTGCTCTCCAACCGACAGCCTCAGGATAGCAATGCAGGGAGGATCACCAAAATCCTTGGGAAAAATGGATGGAAAACTTTGACCCGAAATTGGAAACCTACCTATAGGAACAAAAAGGACATTCTCTACCAAATACAAGGTGCCCAAGTTATCGCAAAGTTGACTTAGTGAAGGATTGGGTTTATGGTGGAGATGGTTCGTAGCTCCGTGTTATAGACCACCTTGTAGGGGGTGTGTGAGAAGCAACAAATAGTGTGGTTGGTGGCTCGAACCACCAGCCAAAGAGAATTCGTCGGAAAATAAAAACCTCAGTGTCAGCAATTGAGCTATATAGATATGAAGATATGACATGTATGAAACCAGCAATCAAATACTGTATGCGTATATATATATATACACTGTATATAGTTCCTTTTCCATATAGCTCAATTCATGGCTCAAAATTCCAGCCTTGTAATCACAACATCGGAATTGCAGCTTCGTGCATCACCAACTACTCGTTTAGGTATCATGAAGTATAGTTGGCATAAACTGCTCGTCAATAAAAAACATATTCTAAGATCAATCAAGTATTTAATCAAGTCTACTTTGTGTTTTTGGAATGCGTAATCACAAGGTTAGGTATCATCATGATGGAATAAAACATGTATCATTATAAAACTATATTGTTTCTTTAAAACAAAACAAAACAAAACAAAACACCATATGTGTTATTGTTCCTTGTCCAACAACTTGGGAAGGCGCCATACTCTGCGCTGAGCTCCACACATCTGCGCCTCAGCGTTGATCTCCTGGGATGGTGAACTCACCATCCGGTAGAGTCGTGGTAGAAATGGGCTGATCAGGCTGACCATTCCATAATTTGAATCTGGTTGGTGATTTTAACCATATTTTCAGGGCTTTATGGTGATGTTTATGGTGATGTTTATGGTAAATCTATGGTAAATATCCCATTCACATGGCAATTTGCTAGTTATTGATGCCAATGATATCTGGTTGGTGGTTTTAACATGTTTTAACCCTCTTGAAAAATGATGGAGTTCGTCAATGGGAAGGATGACATCCCCATATATGAAATGGACATATCAAATTCATGTTTGAAACCACCAACCAGTTAGCATTGCCTGACAAAAGGGCCTTATATCTAGGTGGATGTGAAAGGGCCACTGCGGTGGGAATGTCTTTCGGACATCTGGTTGGTGGTTTCAACCAACCCCTCTGAAAACTATGAGTTCGTCAGTTGGGATGATGACATTCCCAATATGATGGGAAAAATAAAAGCCATGTTCCAAACCACCAATCAGGTATATAAATCGATTTTTTGACCATGGCTCATGTCTGCTGTGCTGTTTCAAACCGGTGGCTACGAAGCACATTGATTTGCGGCTATCTTACGTGTTGCTGGGCAACTCAAATGGCTCTGCCTCAGCATTTTACTACTCAAATTATCTGCATAGTTTCAGATCATGGCCAATCTTGGATACCCTCCCAAGAAAAGTATGTGTGAATTATATATATATATATATTCTCAGCAATATTCCGAAAATATAGTATTTGCAGCTACCCTTCTCCACTTGGTGTACTGAAAATTCGTGATAGTTAGCTTCCTATATTCTTGCTGCTTCAAAAGGCGAAATCGCTTCTTTAAAGGCCAAATCCCCCCACGTGTTTAACGATGCCAGATTCTTCCTTCATATCAAGGGGTAAGAATTCAATCATTCTCATTGCCAATCTTAGATACCCTGCAAAAAAATAAATTCTTTGCTGGTTAGTAGATATTCCCATTAATACCAAAAGACCAAAGGATTAAAGTATCCATGTAAGATTGAGCTAGTTCAATCATATTCAATCCGATATGTCTATCTGGTTGGTGGTTTCAACCTCTGAAAAATATGACCGTCAGTTGGGATGATTCATCCTAATATCTGGAAAAAATAATCCAAATGTTCCAAACCACCAACCAGATATTTGTCCGACAGTTCGAGGGGGATAGTCCTTTACCATCACCTTGATGAATATCAAATATCCCTTTACATAATGGAAACTGATGGCAATTCCCAAATGCAGGTCTATCCCTTCACCAAACTCCGACGCCCCGACGCCCCGACGCCCCTCCTGCGCCCCGCGCGACAGGACCTCCGCTTCATGCCTCTCCATGGCCTGGATAAGCGGTTTGGGCTAGACAAATTAGTGGTGATTTTTAATGATCAACGTTGTCAATAATGGGAGTTCATGATTTGATTGGTGATCTAATGATGTATATTGCTTATTTAATGGGATTTAATGGGATGATTAGGCATTTAATGTTTGATGATTTAGCATTTATGATGATGATTGATCATTCAATCAGCATTAACGGTGATTTTTCATGATAAACTATATTCTAATGCCGGTTCCATGATCAAGAATCATGGGATTTTAACCATTTAGATGGTGATTTAATGACACATCCCCCGTTCAACCCAAATGGGGCCCCAAAACACTGCACGGAGCGGAAACCCCAAGATGTCATGTGAACAAGCGAAACAATTCTGAAACAAAAAGCCCGTATATTTCTTGTTAGCCTCTGGTAAACTAACAGTTTGCTATTGAAAATGGCCATTTATAGTGGATTTACCCATTAATAGCATGGTGATGTTCCATAGTTATGTTAGTTTACCAGAGGGTAGCCGGGGCCCGTGCATTTCCCTATTGAAGTTCAAACTTATAAGTCTAGATGAACCATGATGAACCCGGAAAAAATCCCACCATTCGCCAATCGTTTTTACCAATGTTTTGTTGATGAACTCATGCTAAACAGTTTCAAACCACATCAAGGTTGATGATAAAATGGGAATGATTCAAATTTACATACAATAGTTAAATAGGTTTTTGTTTTTTTTCAATATAAACTGATAGTTAAACTGTTTAAACACTTTAACATGTGTTATTAGCACACCTAACCTATATTAATGCAGTTAAGATCAGTTAAGTATGCACAGCATATCAACAGACTACAGATACCATGTGGGTCCGTTAGTATCGGTAAAAATGACCCATCTTCGATACAACGTGGGGCCCCCCAGTTGTAAGTTGCTTTATAAATCCAATTAACATCAATTAACTATTGTTGCTTGCGTATCAGAAACATATAAACCATAGTTATTGGAGTTATTTTTATTAAACTTAGCTATCAGCCCGGGGGCCCGAAAAATTGGGTCGTCATTTCCCCAGAAAACCACCCGTTTACCACCATTTGGTGAATCCATGGCTAACATGCTAACTTCCATGGCGAAACCTCCAGCCGAACGTTGAACTGGTTGGAACCAACTCCAAGACTTACTGGATAATGATGGGATAATGATGGGATAATACTGGGATAATACTGGGATAATGAATGGGATACTAATAAGCTTACTGGTGCGTTTTACGCCGGGGAATTTTAAAGGGAATGATCCCACTAAATCACTAGTTTCATGTCATCATCTCAGCAACCCCATTCCCAACCCATCCAGCAACCCTACGTCAAACGCACCAGTAAGAAGAATACGTCTCCTCCATCTTTCTTGGAAATGTTTCACCACCATGTTGGTCGATGAAAAACCTCCATTTTCGATGGTAAATCACCCTGCTTCCTGCGTTTACTAAACGGCCAAAAAACAACGTCTCCCAGCCGCAGCCTGTGCAAGCTGATCAGTGCTGAGATTCGATTCCACGTCACTCCACACCTGCGGGGCACCCCAGGGATGCTTTTCGCCGGTTCACAAACCATGAATACTACGGATTGGGCGCCATAAACTATACGTATAATATAGACCCAGAAATTCATGTGTTCTTGTTGTCCCCCACTACCTGGCTGGCACTGGAGGGCATGACTTTAACTTTTTCTTCACAATCCAGTGAAACCATATGATCATGAGGAATATCCATTTTATTCAATGGCCATTTCAGGAACCGATTGATTGGAGGTACCTACCATATGTAAGGTCTATTTTTCAGGCCTAAACTTCAAAAAATATATCCCCACAATTCATATGGCCTTAAACATATGGTACGTAAACCGTACCTCCATTTCAGGATTCTTTCTTATTCCCATTGATACCCTCTGGTAATTTAACATAGCTATTGAACATGGCCATAGAAATCGTTGATTTACCCATTAATAGCATGGTGATTTTCCAGTCGCTATGTTGGTTTACCAGAGGGTATACCATCTGGTGAACGTATTTTTGAACGTGTCAAGACTCATCCCTTGGGCCCCGCCGCTGTATGGCTTTGGAGATAGCTCGGACTAGAACCCCAACAGCCAGGGTGATCCTGGCTCAGATCACCTCCAATCGGGGAACGATGTAACTAAAGGTTAGTACAATGCGAGGCCCCCAAGATACCTAAGTTGGTTTATAACTCCAATAACTATGGTTTATGGTACTTATAACTATAGTTACTGGGGCTTATAAACCAATTTATAACTGGGGGGGCCTCACATTGTACAGTTATAAGTATCACAAAGCATAGATCATTAATATTTTGCTGAATAATACCACTATCTAATTTTGAAGAATAACTATAACCTGAAAATACCCTCCGGTAATTGAACATAGCTATTGAACATGGCCGAAATCGTTGATTTACCCATTAAACATATTTAAAATTATGGATCTTTCCATAGTTTTTTGTTAACATTTCCCAGAGGGTAGTCATCAAATCCCATTAAATTCCATTAAACCAGCATAAACCCAGATCCACCATGTTTCATCCTAATGGCTATGGTCATGATGGTATGGTCCGTATTAGCTCCGTCCTACTATGGGCATCCTTCTGATCCGATGGATTCGATGATCATCCCGCAATAGACGTAGGGATATAGATCCATAGTTGAAAACACGCCTTTGGAGGTTTCCTAGGTCATGGGAGGTACCCCCAAATCATCTATTTGTATAGGATTTTCCATTAAAATAAATTTTATGTATGTCTATTTCAAGATGATGTTCCATGAAATAAACCAACCCGTTTGGGGATCCCCCATTTTTTTTTAAATGGAAACCCCCATATGGTGGATGGGGGGATTTATGCACACAATTCACAAGACTCAGGAAGTAGATGTGACTAACGATGGGTGGGATAGGCGAAATCAACAACATGGGTAGATATATCAACACATCCCACAGTTCGAAGTCGATAGACATAACCCGATATGACATAATTACCATATATATATATATTTTTCACATTATTTCACCATAAACATCCATAAACATCCAAATACCCTAGTCAACCTTAGTCAACCTAATGATATAACATGATATAACCAACTTGGCTAGGGTTTTTGTTGGGCATCACCTCGTGTGGACCAATTTCTGCACCTCCTCGAGCTTTCGTCCGGTCACGGTCTGTTCCTCATGGCCGGTGCAAGACAGGAGCTGGGGCTCTGTTTCTGGTGCACCAGCCAGAAGACAGCATCTTACTGGGAAATACTAGGGAAATTGGAAATACTGGTCTAGATCAATGGATTGGTTTAAGGGAAAATCTACAGGAAAACTCCATATTTAATGGGAAAATCTATGGTTATAACGTTATAACTGCTTGGTGGCTCATCCCACCTAGTAAGTGGATTATAACGCCAGTTTTTTCAGTGAACCTTGCCCCTAGCCCAGTGAACTAACCAGGCTTTTTCACCTACTTACGAGCCGTGGGATGAGCCACCAAGTACCAACCAAATTTTGGGACCGAAGCATCGAAAATTTTCACCAATGAAGGACGGATGACTTGGGGAGTATTGGAACATACTGTAGGGCGTATATCCCTGAAACACGACACATTTGTTCATGCGGGATATGATGATTGGGCAGTGGATTGAGGCTTTTGAACAGATCCAAATGATGTCATACGGATTTCAAGGAAATCAAACAATGATTTGGGTACTGTCATCAACCAATATCGGCATCGGAAATCGCAAGAAGTCAAAGAAAAACATATGACTACCCATCGCCAGGGCTTACCCCATAACACCAATTCATTAGCATTCATCAACGATACACATATATCATAGCATTTAATTACAATAAGAACACATCTGTAACATTCTGTAACAATCATCAAACGCTCAATTATAACAAATATCCAACACATATCAATAGTACATTATCATTGTCATTCAAAGAACAAATCTGAGAAAGCGAACTAAATAATCTATCAACCACAACCCAATAAATAATAACTCCTACTAGCCCCACGACCTTCCAACACCTTTTTCAACCATGAACAAGTTCTTTCTGGGCCAAACACAATACATGCCCATAAACTCCCCAAATGATGGAATTTCCTATGAATGTTCCATGTTTTTCTATAATTCTAAAGTTTACATATATAGAGAGAGGTCCCATTTCAGCATCCAACATCACTTTGTCGGAAAAAAAAACTTCCGAATCATTTGACAGAGTTTTTCGCGGACCATTTGGGTTGACCGATTCTCGACCACAAGTTCGCTCCAGATACTATGATTCATATGTGGAGATAATGAGATAGTTTAATGGGGATTATAGTCATTAGAGAGTTGATCTTATTCATACTACAATATTCCCCTAATCCCCATGAAATTTACCTAGTTATCTAGTTATATATGGAATACCACTAGAATACCCTATAAACATTCCTATATATACATACAACTATAGTCATCCTCTAAATCTACATTTGCTATTACTATCATCCCACTAGGCATCTATAGACATCAATTATAGACTATAATTGATTATATATATATATATATTATAAATATATAATAATAATCATCATTAATCATCCAACATTATAGTCTACAGATTAAACATACGTAATCAAAAAAAAAAAATATCAACATTATCCAATCTCATGGTGGAGAATTATCTAGTGTTTTTTGTTTTCAATTCCAAAAAAAACATTCCCATAATCTATGAAATAAATCCAACATTACATTATCATATTTTACTAATTATGAACATTATACAATATTATTATTATCAATTAATTTAAATAAATCAAAAAAAAGAAACACACTATCAATATCCTCCACTATCATTAATCTATTAAATAAATCCAACATGAAATCCACTATTATTAACATGATCTATATTAACATTATCCACTATTATCCACTATCATTAATTAATTTAACATAAATAAATCAACATGATAGTGGATAACAGTGGATTAATATGGATTAGTGGGAGAATAGTGGATTTCATGTTAATCCACTATTTTTGACATATCTGGTTGGTGGTTTCAACCCCTCTGAAAAAAAATAGTCAATGGGAAGGATTGTTTTTATCAATATATGGAAACATAAAATATGTTCTAAACCACCAACCAGTGGATGAATATGGGACAATGGTAGGTTTCTACAGCCATTCTTATGATCTTGAATGGAAAGTATGATGGACATGTCATGTTGATGTTTGTGGGATCAATGATGTTTAGTTTCATGGGATATACCCTCCCCAACACTGTCTTAAAGGGAATATTCGCCCAAATTATTGATTGCCAAATTCCAAGTCATTATAGTAACTCCAAAAAATCAAACAGATAGAACAGTAAATTGTCCTATTCAAGTAGTAATCCACTATTATTAACACTGGTTGGTGGTTTCAACCCCGGAAAATGAAATTCATGTTCCAAACCACCAACCAGGTAAATATGTGGTTTGGTCATAGATCCCATACTCTTAACCAGTGGTAATCCACCATTACTACCCTCCGGTAAATAAACATAGACCCTGAAAATCACCAATTTTTCATGGAAACTAGTCTTCCAACCCCTATCTGCCAGGGTCTATGTTAATTTACCAGAGGGTAACACCCCTGGTGAACCCCAAAATAGCTGGTAAATGGATGTTCATCCCACTAAAAATAGTATTAATAGGTATTGATCCATACCCATATAAATCATTATAAATCTCCTATCGGCCCAGCTTCCAGCAGCTGCATCTGCGCCAGCACCCGCGTCGGCAGCGCCACCACCGGCGCCCACCTGCCGGCGCCGCTCGTCGGCGCCACGTCCTCGGCCACGAAGAGCAGCTCCGCGCCCTGCTTGCCTCGCTGAAGCGCAACGGACCCGGGACCCCCTGGGCGAAGTCGGAGAAGAGGCAAAAAAAACTGGGTTTTCCCATGCGAATTTGGGGAAAACACTTGGATTTTCAGTTGGAAAATGGTGATGTCGCGGATTTTTGCGGAAAAATGATGTTTTTAGATAGAACAATTGGGACTCAGGCACAGCACATCAGATTTTCACGGAAAATATCATGTGTTTTTAGGATGATTGAACACGGAAAAATCAGGATTGAAGATAATTCGTGACGAAATTAAATGGAAAACATGGTATCAACCATGGGGGTTTACCACGGCAGCAAGAACATTTGCCATGATTTACCAGGAAAAAAAACTGGTTTAAACCGTCAACCATGGAGATTTGACGAAGAACAGTTATATCAAAAAGTGTCATTTAACCCTCTCGGTCCAAGTCCTCACTAAACTAGGCCTTTGATGACCCCTCAAATGAGCGCCGGTTTGTGAGTGCAGCAATCCCAACTATAAATCTGCTGGATGGTTTTTCAACTCCAAAACCTCCTGCCAGACCATGTTTTGATGGTTCCCCAGGTGTTAAAAACCATGATAAACCATGGTGGGGTCCAGGGTTTTACCATGGTTTTACCATGTTTATCCGGAAAATACTTGGGGAACAGCCATAGATAAAATCATCACCTGGTGTAGCATCCACCCAGACTTTGAACAAAAAGATATCGACGATAGTTAACCTATCAAGGTCGATATGTCACGATCAACTAGGATAGTGACAGTGTCATGATGTATTTCCTGTTATTATCTCTCTAGCTCTATATATATATATACTGTATTCTGTGTCACTCAATCAGACTTAATTAGCAATCACATCCCAGCTGCAACGGTCCTGCAGTCCGTTTTACAAACCATTTACGAAACGCAAGTCGTCCCAGCGCTGCCAGCAAGGGGCTTGGAACGAAACGCGGACAGCAATGCGACAAGTATCGCTTGGCCTTATGGTGGATCATTTCCACTAGTTAGGTGGGTGAACAAAACCAAATATGGGGGTTTGCCCATTGCTTAATTCATTTCACCTATATAGTTTGATAGGATTCTGAAAGCTACCCTACTTCCAAATGATGTGTCTGCTGCATTGTCTTCCACCCTATTGAAAAAATCTCACAGCATCGGAGCCCCATTACATATGACATACTCTTCAGGTTGACAGAAACATAAATGTTCACCGAAATCAAGCCAATTTACGATCATGGCAACTTAGCAGCATGACGAATCGTTGATATCCAGCATTTAAGACGCATTTGCAACTGGATGTTGTAGCCTTTGGTCATTCATAGCTATGGAAAATGGGCCATTGATAGATGATTTACAGTAATTATGCTTATTTATATATATATATATATCAAATCATGGTGTTTTTCTATAGTCTATGGCTAGGTTAATTACCATATAGTATTCCACTTGTGACCACTAAGCCTTTCAACTACCCTGATCAAGTGGAAGAGATACAGAGCACAAATTTGTAGCAAAACAAACATTTAGAGTTTGTTCCTGCTGTTGGACACAGAACCAACAAATTAAAGATCATGGCAAACCATTCTATTTCATCTTAATCTGGTTCCAAACCCAGTTTGGAATAGTTAAATCATGTTAAATCCACATTCCTGAGCCAAACAAAAACAACACATTTTTTCCGCATTTTAAAGCCACTAAAAGCCATACCCTCTGGTAAACTAACATAGCTATGGAAAGATCCACCATTTTTAATGGGAAAATCCACTATTTCTATGGCCAATTTCAATAGCTATTTTGACATAACCAGAGGGTAAGAAAACCATGACAGAACGGTGCTCCAACCTCTCCCACCGTTGGGATCCGTCCGAGGCGCCATGACCACCGCGCCCTGGTTGGCGCCGCGCGGCGCCAACGGGTCGGTGCTGAGGATCCGCAGCTGCGACGCAGCGAAGGCGCGCTGCCGGTGACCTGAAAGGCCCGGAGAAAAACCTGGGAGATATTTGGGAAAATCTTAGGACGACAACACCCTCTGGTTATTTAACATAGCTATGGAAAATCACCATTTGTAATAGGTAAATCAACTCTTTCTATGGCAATGTTCAATCAACCAATCAGTATCCATGTCTCAATTTCTAAGTTGGATATATCCCATAGGATCCATGGTGCTGGTATATATGCTAACATAAAGGGGGTATACTGATGGGATCCATGTTACCATATATAGCATACATGGATCCTATGGGCATGGATTTTGTGACGGGAAATTGATGGGAAATTGATGGAACATGTTTTTTCGGGGACTTTCTTTTTGTTGACCTTTTTTTGGAATTTGTGATGGGAAATTGATGGGAGTTGATGGGATGTTCAGCATTTTCTGGCATTCCGTAGGGATTATATACAGATAGACCCGTCAACAGGAACTTTAACATGAATAATTGGGGATTGTATAGTTGATGGGGCTAATGCATCTTACATATCATCTATCATTGACGAGGTTTGTATAGCAACTTACTACATCCCCTCAGATAAATACACGTTCAAATAACATGAAACTCATGAAACTAATAGTGTGGTGATGTCGGGGAATGATTGCCAAAAGTTGGATACTAGCCATAGCCATAGCGATAACCAAATATAACCAGTATATACCAGTATTAGTACGTGGTTATATAATAACCAACTAGCATTTCATTTCAGGATAGTAATTTTGCATATGTACATGGACAATAACAGCATGAACATAACAGTGTTATACGTTATTCGGAAGGTGGATGTAAGTGGTTAATAAACATCATGAGTTCCTCGTCACTTAGCTAATTTCTGGGTTCACAACTCACAACAATAATGGCCTCGGAAAGTTGCATCTTCCGCCATCCCAGTGTATCTAACACACTTCCCAAACCTGGCTTAAGCCCATCATACTTTATGATGTTCCCCTTTATCAGACTTTATCATCTTCCCCTTACAAGTTCATATAAATTCTCCATGTATGGGATGATCAACTCCGCATATTCCAACTTCGAAAACAAGAAAAACTGCAGTCAACGAACCGCCCGTGAGGTTTTTGAACTGAAAATCCACGACAGCCAATTTGGAAAACCTGCAGCACGACCCAGGGACCCAGGTCGAAGGCTGTTGGGAGAAGGATATCACAAAAAACCATGGGATATCTGTACAAGGGGGGTGGGCCCCCTAGATGGATAAGTTGGTCTATAACTCCAGATGCCAATAACTATGGTTTATGATACTTGTAGCTTATAACTCTAGTTAATGGGGACAAACCAAAAAACTGATAATTCATGGGGTTTCGAATGGTTTTAAAAACCCACTTGTAACTGGAAGACCCCACATCAAGTAGCTCGTCATTTCCCATTGCCTCAATTAGGACATGTCTGGTCTGAGTTGGTTCGTGGTTCAATATTCACCACTCAAAGATGGTGATTTCCCGAGCAACCAGGGCAGATTACGAATGCTACCCTCTGGTAATTTAACATAGCTATTGAAAATCACCATTTTTAATGGGTAAATCAGCTATACCTGGCAATTTTCAATAGCTATGTTAGTTTACCAGAGGGTACACTTGCCCATGTACACAATTTGTCTGATCAAAACGGCAAACAAATAACACCAAGTTTCCACATCACGGTGAGACCAGCTGCTGTGTTTACTCACCAAGTGTTTAGTCCCCAAACAAAAACGCTTCCCCCAAAAAAGGGGGTGAAATCTAGATCTTCCATGATCTTCCAACATCCTCTAAAACCAATCCTACAAAATTCACATCAAACATGCCAGTTTATGCAAAATGTCGCACAGAATCCTCCAAGAACCTCCTCAAAAAAACAAATCTTCCAAAAAAGTCTACAACAATTCTTGCAAACATGCAAACACATCATGAACAAAGTACTCTGAAAATACTCCACACATCCTACACTCATCCCTCCAATATCGCCCAGGGAACTGAATGGGCTCCGCTTCCAACATGGACATCTCTTGTCGACATGTGAAGCTAAAGGTGGCGCGGTAAACCAGGGAAGTGCCGAAGGGTTGCACCGGCAGGCCCTGGCGTGTCCCGGCCAACGTTGAAGGGCCGTGGCGAACTTCTTGGGGAGTTTACCATCTCCACATATCAATTTCAGAATCATGTTTTCCGATGTGTGCATATCAATAAATAGGGTACCCAGGGTACCTCTCAAAATATCATGGCCAACCCAATTCAATGGTTTTATTCGTACACAAATCCCAATTTCTCTTGGTAAAACGACCATTTCTGGTGCCAAGAAACCCCACCACTTCGGTTGTTGGAACTGCCCTTTTGCTATGTCTGAAAACTAGACATATCGCTCTTACAATTACCATGCATACCATATGTACTTACATATATATATATATATAAGGAACTACTCGTACTTAGAATATGCCGAAATTCAATCCTGCCCCCTCCAAGGAAAAAAAAGGTACATAGAATATATTTTATTTTTAGAAGATTTTAGAAGATCCATTTTAGAAGATCCAATCCTGAAAAATTCAGCTCCACCAAAAACCCTGGGCTCCCACCATGGATCACCATGGTTTTTTCCACTGCAATCGCGAACTTAGTTCAACTTCTTCAGTTTTTTTTACAATCTAAACATATTTCGTAGGCATTCATGTCGGTTCCCGCCGTTTTGCCGCGACAATCTCGAAAGAAATGCAACTGATGCAGGTGGCAGGGAATGTGTCATTAAATCTGCCAAATTCCTATGTTTTTCAATCAAAATTTAGATTTTTTGACATTGACCGTGAAAGCCATAAAAACCAGGGGAAGGTTCATCCATTATATATAACAAAATAATAATCATGATGATTAATAATAAAAATGATAATAATAATGATAATGATAATAATATATACTTATACACAGTATATATTGCTGAGCATTTTCCCATGACAAAACCCACAGTTCTGACCCTCTACCAGAAATTAAAATGGTGGGTTTTCATGAACCAATCTTAAAAGTTCGGCCATGGCTGGGGATGATTCCCTACAATCTAACCATGATTCCCAGGGTTCGGGAGAACAGTGATGTCGTTATAATTTACCCAGATTGTATATATATATATATATGTTAGAATATATATGTATATATTCTAATCATAATCTAACTATAAAGGGGTAAATTTACCATATATTGATAATTTACCATCGTTATATTCCCTAAGGATCCATGGTGCTGGAATATTTTCCTACATTGGGATTATGTTAAATTACTTTGGGGGTCAATGTAGCTAAATATTCCAGCACCATGGATCCTCTGGGATTATAACTGGATCCCACTGGGGTTCACCCCCAACGTCCCGGAACGGCGGACCTGCAAGGAGCCGCCGAATTCGACCGCCTCAATGCCAGGGATGATCACCTGCGATGGTGAAACAGCGATGCTGAAAAATGGGCTATGGAATTCATTAGTATTAGTTAGTATTAATGGGATGTATTATATAGTTAGTATTATAGTTAGTATTAATGGGAAAACCATAGGAAAATGGAGGTTTTAATGGGAAAACCATAGGAAAACCATAGGAAAATGATGGAAAATGGAGGTTTACCCTCTGGTAAACTAACAGTTAGCGAACTGGAAAGATCCACCATTTTTATGGGAAAATCCACGAACTAAACGGGCCATTTTCAATAGCTACGTTAAATTACCAGAGGGTAGTATTAGTTATCATCCATGGGATATTATGAGTAGCTAGTAACTCAGTGATAATCTTAGGTAGGAACTGAGTAATGAAATCCCAGAGCCCAGAGCCCACATCTAAGTGGAGGTCCATTAGCCACTCGTCAATGAAAAACGTCGTGGTTGTTGCTGGTTCGAAAACAAGAATGGTTTCAAAGTCCAATTTAGATTAGTGGGATATGAATAGGTGATGATGATGATGATGATGATGATGATGATGATAAGCTTGTAGTGCAGTACCCAAGCGCGGAGTTTCTGAATAGGGAAATTATCTATCATATTCAAGAAAATGTTCTGTAATATATGGTGATATATCAATGTGTCAAGACACATCTGCAGCATCCCCACTTTTTCAGGACTGAGATCATCCCCGCTGAATCCCCCACAATAAGCCGACCAATCCAACCAGGATGGTTCAGCGGTTTACCACAACTTGTGGAAGATACCATCTGGTTATGACTAACAGTTTGCCATGGAAATATTATCACCATTTTTAAGAACGGTAAACCATCTATTTCTATGGGCCATGGCTTAACCATGGCTATGTTAGTCATAACCAGAGGGTATACTTCCCATCAACCAATTCTAAGAATGGTGCCCAACAATTAGGTATATAAGTTGGTTTCTAAATGTGTTGATTGAGATTTATGGGTTCTATATAATCATAGATAGGGGGTCGCCGGCCAGCAACTTGTTATTTCGGTTCCTATCATTCGAAAAATGTTGTAACTATCTCGAGCTAGCTATCAATTCCTTTTTTTCTAGTATCATAGGAGATTATGATGAGGAATCACCGAAATTGGGTGTGGGCTGGCTGAGTCCCCATGATACTAATCATAGGAATAAAGAACCCCCATGATAGCTGCAAGCTGCTTGCACTCAGATTTGCTGAATGGTCAGCTGCGATCCATGAGAGTAGGAGGGCCGTAGTTAGCTAAGTTAAGTTGGTTTTCATAGGTGAATTCTATGGCTATGGTTTCTGATGGATACAGTATCTCTATATATATATATGCGTGTAAGTATAATATATGTATATATATATGGGGATTTCCATAAATGTGATCCCCAAAATGATTGGTTTATAATGGAAAATCCTATTAAAACGGATGATGTAGGGGTACCCACATTTCAGGAAACCTCCATGTATGCAATTAGATGGGGTATTAGGTTGGGTTATGCATCAACAAACACAACAAACGGGGGCACTGCTTTGTGGAGATGTACGTGGTCCCTTCAATCTGTTGCCCTAAATTTATGGGTTGGTCAGAAAATGGGGGTACCCCGAAATCGTAAATGTCGTTGGTGTTTATCATCCTTGGTAAACACCCCATTTTCAGACATACCGTATACCCCGTATCCATTGTTCATTGGTCAAAGCCTTATGCTGATTAATTCATACTGGTTGGTGGTTTTAACAATCTTGAAAAATATGAGTTCGTCAATGGGAAGGATAACATCCCATATATGGAAACCTCTGCTGTATCCCTGGAACTCACCAAGCGCTGGCCCCACCTGCAAGTGCTTGAAACCACTCAGCCGAGCCTGGACAGGACACATCATGTTGATCAATGGAGTGTCGACTATCTTCATGATGACATACCCTCTGGTAATCTCACAGTTTGCTGTGGAAAATGGCAGAAATAGTTGATTTACCCATTAAAAATGGTGATCATCCATAGTTATGTTAGTCTACCAGAGGTAAGGTTCTTTAAACAACTTGTTATGGTTCACCCATCTTACGTCGTCTAAATTATTATGCGACCGCTGATCTTGATCATCATCAATGGTGATCAATGTATATAGTGTAACCTCTGGTAAACCAACATAACGATGGAAAATCACCATGTTTATTGAGTAAATCAATTATAAATGGCAATTTTCGATAGCAGTGTTAGTTTATCAGATGGTATATATATAATAATAATAATATGATATTATATATATAAATAATTATACATATATAATTATATGTATAATTATATATAATTACATATATATATAATTATATCTATATATATATATATTTATCCAATTTCAAGGATACCATGGGGTACCTAGGTTTGACCCATGATTCGGGCGAGATGGAAAGCAATGAATGAGGTGGCCACAGTTATAGGACCAACCCTGCCGTGGTTGGTAGCTGGGGTTGAAATCCACTCAGAATCACTCAGATATTGGAGAAACCCAGGAAAGACATATGCTGGTTGGTGGTATACCTACTCTCTGAAAAATATGAAAGTCAATGGGAAGGATTATCCCATATGAAATGGAAAATAACAAATGTTTGAAACCACCAATCAGTATTTATATTGGGCTAACCCTGGCTAACCCTGCCTGGCAACGGTGAATTTCTGTGAACCAGGGCGAGTATTCACCACTTACTACTTCACATCATCCTCCAGTAGATTCCAAATCACCCAAGTACACCCATCAAAATGCCCAAATCCCATTTCCCTGGCATTTCTTTAGCCACCTATATATGGATTCTTGACAGAACAAACAAACAAATCCTGCCACTGGTCAAACTTAGGACGTTGATAGTTTGTGTTATATCCGTAGTTGGGTGGGTATAAACCAACATGGGATTCTGTGGTTTCTTGCTTACAATCCCTTGAGGATGCAAGCATTCCCAAGCATCTCATATTTTTTGGCACAGTTCTGTGGACATTTTTTTCTCATCCATCTTTCCAATGGTTTTGATGATCCGTGCGAACGAATCCTATGGGTTCAAATAGGGTATCCAAACTATTGATGTTTGAAAACCATTTTCAATATTTAAAGTGCCATAAAATAGGATGTTCATGGATTTTCACCATTTTCAGTCAAACCCATATAGGTGTCATCAAGCATCCATGCTTCTTGAACAATTACCCCCCGGCCCAACGCAGTTGCAGGCCACCTGCTGCTTCAAAAAATGCTGTTCCGGCTTTGCCTCCTGCAGCACCCCATCGAGTCACGTCACTCCGAATCTTTGTTGCTCAGACCAAATATTAAAAAAAAAACAACCTGATGTTCATTGATTTCCTATAGATTCCCCAAATGGTGGATTTCCTGTGGTGAATCTCCATAGGACCATCCCTTCAGCAACTTAGATGTCCATCCTTGATGTGGAGAGTTCGTACAAACGTACATATAGATACAGTAAGTAGAGCTGTTCACTCAGCAGAACTGGAACCATCCTTGATGAAGTATTCTTTTTTGTGGCTGCTAAATCTCTGCGTTTTTCTCAACAAAACCTCATGTTCTTCTCAAGTTGCGCTAGATTTGGGTCTACTGCATAGCGTATATCATACCATCATTTTAAGACCCATCGAAATCCGGAATTCCTGCTGCGTAAATCCCGAATTGTGCTGGTTCAATCCACTGCTTGCTGGTTAAATCATAGTTGATCATGAAATCCACATGATTCACTCTTGTTTTGAAGGTACAAATCGTTTTAAACATTTTTAAACCATCTATTTGGGTTTGTGAGAAAATAGCTTATTTCAAAAGGCCAGTGATTTATGTAATTATCATAATCTATCATTAATTTGAAACCTTGAAAAAAAAACAACAAATTGTGCGGTATACCACATCAGACACAGCCGAATCCGTCACTTTTTGTCAAATCCCCATGGTGAAATCCCCATCTAAACACTGTCTAAGTCTAAATCATACCCCCAGTCGTACTTCCTAAGAAGCTACCGCTGGATCCACAGGGTTTAATTCATAGCAACAGATGGAGTAAACAAAAACCATTCACGTCTGATCCAGTCAGCCCCTGCACTATCTGCTTTGAGGACCATCGGACCATCCCAATGTTTTTTTGTTTTCTCGTGGTCTGGTGATCCTCCCATTGCTACGAAACCATGAGCCAATGAGAAATCACTACTGGTTGGTGGTTGACCTACCCTTCTGAAACATATGAGTTCGTCAGTTGGGATTATTGTTCCCAATATATGGAAAAACAAATGTTCCAAACCACCCAGACTAGAATATATCATATAATCCCAATCTAATCCCAATACGTAACCATAACCCATATTGTTGGTATGATATTGTATGATTAGATCCTGACTATAATATAATCATGTTCCATGGTGCTGGAAAAAAATACCAACACCCCAAACGTGACCTGAACATGTTGGAAACAAATCCAGCACCATTGAGGATCATGGAGCATATGAGCGTTAGTTTCTGGTGAAATTCACTGGGCAATTTCTTGATAGTCAACTCCCTAGTGTTGATTGGTTTGATTGGTTAAGTTATATTCCTGCAAAATTACAACGATTTCGCGAAAATCCATTAAGCATTGGTTTGATCCTATCTTTCAAAAAATTTCCTTTGAACATCCATTTACCATCGGGCCTCAGTGCCTTTCCCTATACTTGACCCTCCGGTAATCAAAAATGTCCCAGCTAGGAACCTCCATTTACGAGGGATTTTCCAGCCAGCCGCGTTTGATTACAAGTTGGTTAGTTAGAGATCATATTCCATGGATTCCAATGGTATGTTCCATATATTTCCCAATGATAGATCTCATCAGATCCCCCAAATTCCAACCAATTATGCCATGAGGTTATGAGATGGAATACCATTGTTATTAACCATGGTTTATACCATGAAACATATACAATTTCAACTATACCAAGTATGAATCAGATCCTACCTATTATATTATCATTCTGATAGGATATCCATTCTAATCAACATTCTCTGTGACTATCCAATTATATTACAATGGTTATGGATCATGATTATTAATGGTTATTCCATATTTTCTTAACCATCATTACAATCATAATGAACAATTTATAATCTACTAGCAATCATAAATATATATATATATATATCAAAAATAACAATCACAAACATAATCAACAATAGTTTGTCAACCGTCATTACAATCATTACAATCATAATTAATTATCATCAATCTATTCCATGGTTTTCTGGTGGTTAACCTGAAACATATGAAAGTCAGTGATTATTGGTCCCCCAAAAAAATGGTAAAATAATCCAAATGGGATTATCATCCCTGAACAATATTAGTCAGTTGGGATTATTTTTCCTAATATACTATGGATCAATACCTATCAATACCATTTTTAGGGGATGAACATCCATAAATCCCAGCTATTTTGATGTGAACAAAAAAGGGGTACAAGGTTTTGACACACTGCTATATGTTACCCCCTGGTAATTTAACATAACTATGGAAAATCACCATTTTTAATGGGAAAATCCACTATAAATGGGCTATTTTCAATAGCAAACTGTTCGTTTACCAGAGGGTATATGAAATAGCTGGTAAATGGATGTTCATCCCACTAAAAATGGTATCTATAGGTATTGATCCATAGCCATATGGGAAAATAATCCAAATGTTCCAAACCACCTCAACCCGTGATGGTTTCACGACGTCCTGCAGCACCGCCCGCACGGAGTCCGTGTGCAGCTCGCAGGCGGCATCCAGCGAGGTGAGCTGTGTCTGAGTCAGCAGCGGGATGGCCTGCGCGGGGGCGACGCCACTGAGATCAGCAGGAAATCCATAGGAAATCCATGGGGAATCCATGGGAAATCCATAGGAAATCCATAGGAAATCCATGAAACATAGGAAAAAACACCCGGGGATTTCAGCTGATTTGAGCATGAAATCCCTGTGAATTTCACGGTGATGGTGGCTAATTTCAATTGGATTTAATATGATTGAACTATAGGTCGGATAGGTTGAAGAAAAACAGTGAAGATGATGACCTGACCAGCCGAAAAAAGGGATTTAAGCAGCTAAATTGAGGCTTTAGCCTTTTGCTCTTACTAATCTTACTATGTGAGTGTGAATGATGTCAAATGTCTAGGGAACTAAGGTGAAAAACCACTCAAGATCAATATTGGGCGAAATACAGTATATGGGGGAACTGGTTTTTAGAAACCAGGAAACATATGGATCTCAATTTTGAGTTGACCAACCCAAAAAAATGGTGAAGAGGTGTGAGGCAGTCTGGGACAAAACCTTCCAGTGGAGCCGGTCCCATAGCACACCTCTGGGGCATCCTTATCTTGCGCATCCACAGCATAGAGGTTTCCAATGTCCTGCCCACCCGAAGCTACCGGTGGATGCCGGTTGGGTATCACAGCCAGACGATTTCAATGATGACTATGTAACTACCTGGACCCCCAGTTCCAACCAGAAACATATAATACGTGGTGGTTTCTCCAGTTTCAACCATTTGGCATGTAGGGTTTCTTCACCATGCGGAAACAACCATGGCGACCTCATCATTTCTGGTCAGCCTGTGAGACTCATGAAACCTCTTCGATAAGGTGCCCTAGTAACCGCAACCGCAAAGTTGGTTCATGTCACAAACATATTTCAATATATCGGTGGTATACCAACCCCTCTGAAAAATATGAGTTCGTCAGTTGGGATGATGACATTCCCAATATGATGGGAACAATAATCCAAATGTTCCAAACCACCAACCAGTTTCAATATATTTCAACATATTCCAGTTGGGTTTCTGGTAGGTATATCGAACGAGTATTCATGGGGCGAAACTGAAGCAACACACAAAATGCCACGGTCGCTTGGACCACAGTTTCAAACGAGAACTTGAAGATATTTCCCTGTCAAACCATCCATGATAAACCATCATCCAATCCATAGCTTAACAAGATAGGGGATCATGTATAGTCAAAAACAACAGGTTAAGAAAAACTACATATCATATAGATATCTATTTAGGTGTGTCTATGTTTGTCTAAAAATACAATGCCCAAATTCCCATCTGTCTGATGGCTCGATGGCTACTTAGTATCCCTTGGCCCTCGATGAAAAAAGGAACACCCTTTGTCCATGTTCAACCCCATCCTGGGATCTAAATCGTTGAGTCACGACAGTCTTTTGAGTATTCAATATTTCCCAAACATACAGCTTTAAAAACCAATATCCCGTTATATATCCCAAGCATGGCTTCAGAAAATGAATGATTATAACATAATGATAGCATGCCCCTATGCTCCATGGTGCTGGAATATTTACCAACATTTGCCCGAACAAAATCACCCAGTTTTGTAGGTAAATATACCAGCACCATGGAGCATCTGGGATGATGAAGCATCAACCACCAAACAGTTTTCAACGCGAGAAAAAAGTGCCGTTGCTCCTCGGAAAGGGATCCAATGAAGGTGACAAAACGCCAGTCCGGTGTCACCTCCCGGCCCGGAACTGGTGGCTGGAATTCACCGTGAATACCGACTAGACTAGATCTATATATTATATATACATTATACATATATATATATATATATTATGTATATCATAATATATATATGATATGATATGATATGATATGATTTGATTTGATATGATATGATGTGATATGATGTGATTCGATATGATATGATATGATATGATATGATATGTATATCTATCCCCAAATTGGGATTTAGATGGATTTAAGACGATAGTCAAGTCTAAGCATGGACTGGGGATTTCCTTCACTTGGGTTTCTCCAACAGATAGCGGATTTACCTCTAAGATTGCAATCAGAAAAAATGATATCCTGATATCCTCTGAAATCATGGGTATCGCATTCTCAAACAAACCCAGAGCTTCTAAGAAAGTGGAGAAACTTATAAACTTCAGATCATTGTTGAGTGCACGTGACAGTGGTGACCACTTTGGTCAAGCAGTGCCCTTGCACTGCTGCAACGCCTCAAAGAGACTGGTACGCAAGGGCCTTTGTATGTCCGGAGGATGTCTTGTGGCGAGCTTTCAAGGTCTCCGCACGGTCATCCAGCCATGAGAAGGCTGGCTGTCAATATCCCAGGCATTCGAACAGCATGGGCAATCGCAGAGCACTCATGTTGGCTGGACTGCGAATTGTTGTGGGCAGGCAGTCAGCGTGCAAATGTTCAGAATAGCACAGTGCTCATCTACAGTCCCTTTTTCTCCGGCGCATATGTGATGGACAGCGCTTCCAACTTTCAGCGGATTGGTTTCACCCGTGTTTGGGAGCGTTGGTTGTACATCTTTTGAAAATTGTCACCCTACTCGAATGCTGTTCCCTCTTAATATGTGACGGTGGTTCCCTCTATATATATATACCCAAATTGATGCTCTACTGAACTAGACCAACTTACAAGGTGGTGCCCCTCCAATTATAAGTGGATTTGTAAACCCCATTAACTGTATATATATATATATATCCACCATAATTGGAAGTATATTAATCCAGTATAATCCATATATATATAGAATATTAATGTATACTGGGGATTTTGTATACATTAATATATCTTAATATAAAAACACCAGTATATATATATATCTACCATAGAGATCCACAGTTACCCCAGCCTGGTGTAAACCTTGTAAAGCAACTTGGCTAAGTAGGGGGCACCCGACCGCCCATTAAGCCCATGGGGAAAAAACAGTTCCCGGATCAACATCTTGAAATGGCCGGAAAAAAATACTTGGAGAAAATGATCGTAAATGGTTGTTTTAATGGAACAATCATCTAGAAATGGTAGTGTTACCATCTGGTAAACTAACACTTTGCAAACTGGAAAACCACGCTTTTGGATCCCTTTTGCATAGGCAAATCAACTACAAATGGACCATTTTCCAGAGCTATGCTAAACTACCGGAAGGTATGCAATACAACTACCCACCAATTTATGTTCAAACAAATCAGAACTCGAACTGGCACATCAACGCCAAGCGAAAAACAACATTGATGGTTGGCTACAGTACATCTGGCAGCCCCCAAGCAATGTTTGTTGGTTCATAACCCCATCTGGCCAAAGATTTATCCACTGTACAGTATCCACCGTAAATCCAAGACTTGGCCGAGTGAAACAAAAAAATACTTACCCTCTGGTAAACTAACATAGCTATGGAAAATCACCATTTTAAATGGCCATGTTCAATAGCTATGTTAAATTACCAGAGGGTAGCATGAGTAAGAATCCCCATCCTTGGTGGTTCAATGACCTCTTTGATTGGTGACCTGCTATGTTTGTCGCTTAATCTGAATCCAATATTTTGTGTTGCTTCAACCCCATCTAGCGACCCTTTCCTGCCAGGAGGTAGCTATAAGTAAGTAGCTTTAGTTTAGTAGATTAGACAATATTACCATCTGGTTATTTAACATAGCCATGGAAAATCACCAGTTTTAATAGGTAAACCCAGGTAAACCATTTATAAATGGGCCATCTATACCATGGCGAACTGTTAGTCATAACCAGAGGGTAAACATGGTTAGTGTTCGATCTCTCGAATTTGACTCAGCAGCAATGGGGCCAGGTGAAACCCGGAATTCCCCAAAGACACAATCTGCTAGCTTGAAAAATATTAGTCTATGGGAAGGATTGTCCCATATATTATGGACAATAAAACATGTTTGAAACCACCAACCAGCAATATGATACAACATGATCCACTAATATTGGGATTAAGCATTACCATTCCTATCTGGTTGGTGGTTGACCTACCCCTCTGAAAAATATGAAAATCAGTTGGGGTTATTATTCCCAATATATGGAAAAAAATAAACTGTTCCAAACCACCAATCAGACAAATATTGGGATCAAGCATTACCATTCCTATGAATAGTCGGATTCTCTATCGATTGGGTTATACATGTTATACTGAATACCCTCTGGCAATTTTACATAGATATTGAAAGTTGCCCATTTATAGTTGATGTTGCTATTAACATGGTGGATCTTTTCCTAGTTATGTTAATTTACCAGAGGGTATATACTACTATTACCGTAATACCCTACAATTTTTCACATGGCGAGGCCAGGATGGCTTTTACGAAAATTGATGAAAATTGTTGATTTTCCCAGTTGTTTTTTTTCGATCAAACATGGCGAGGCCAGGGATTTCCCAGCATCCGCCATCTTTTTTATGGAGGGTATCCCCCTAGATCCCCCCAGGATTCACCTGAAGCATCAAACCAGTGGCGCGACGTCGCGACGTGAGGACTTTTGAATCATTACCCTCTGGTTATGTCAAAATAGCGAGAATTGCCATAGAAATAGCTGAACTACCCACTAAACATGTTGACTTTCCATAGCTATGTTGGTCTACCAAAGGGTCATCCAAAAAAAAATCCGAAGAATCTCCCATTGACATCCCAGAATGATCCCTATCATTGTTCGTTATGAAACCATGTTCTTGAGCTCCTAGCTCCGAATCGCTCCCTCCTCACTGGATAGTCTATCACTGAATGGATCCTCCTAATCATTGAATGGGATATTATCTCGGATTATAGTATATATATATAATATCATATCATTATCATTCATTATCCCATTATTCGTATCATTCAATATCATTCTTTATCATGAATACAATCCCATAATATAAATATGATTTAATGTGACCCAATTTATATAATTTTATATACCATTATCCCATCATCATCATCATCATCATCATCAACATCATCAACAATGATAGTAATGTATAATAGTGGATATTAACACTAATAATCATAGTAGTACTACTATTATCGATAAATATCATCATCATCATCATCATCATCATCATCATCATCATCATCATCAACATCATCAACAATGATAGTAATGTATAATAGTGGATATTAACACTAATAATCATAGTAGTACTACTGTTATCGATAAATATCATCATCATCATCATCATCATCAACATCATCAACAATGATAGTAATGTATAATAGTGGATATTAACACTAATAATCATAGTAGTACTACTATTATTGATAAATATCATCATCATCATCATCATCATCATCATCATCATCATCATCATCATCAACAATGATAGTAATGTATAATAGTGGATATTAACACTAATAATCATAGTAGTACTACTATTATCGATAAATATCATCATCATCATCATCATCAACATCATCATCATCATCATCATCATCAATGGGATCGATTCTTAATGGGATCATCCGATCGAAATCTCCGATCAGATCCCAAAAAAACACGGCACCTTGACCGCTGTCAGCCGCTTGGCATGAAGCTTGGTGACCTAAAGCACCAGAACGGAAACACGGAGATTTAATAGGAGATTTAACCATCACAAATGATAGAAGCTGATCAAACATGGTGGTTTAACCATTAAACTTGGGGTGTACCCTCTGGTAAACTAACAAAAAACTATGGGAAATCACCATTTTCAATGGGTAAATCAACTATAAATGTGGTATTTTCAATAGCTTTGTTAAATTACCAGAGGGTAACTATCAAACAACTTACAGTATATTTAACGAAAAAAAACATCCCAAAACCATGCAACACCTGGAATTTATGCCAGAATTGTATAGAATTGTTGCATTGATTTACCACAAAATCATGCAACATTGGTGACCTCTACTGGGGAAACCCATGGTGATATTGGGGTCCCCCCATTTTAGGAAAGCCTTCAAAAAGGGATTTGGGGGTTGAGTATGGTTGAGTGATCAAGAGATTTGCTGCCAGGCCACATTTTTCTCCCGCAACAAGGTTCCTCGCACGGCATCGAACTCGCTGGCAGCAATCTCGAAGTCCGCTTGGTTGCAACGAGCCTAGAGCGCACTGCAGCGGATTGATGGGATTGCAACCAGTGATTTCAATGGGATTCTAACGGTAGTGATCCCTCGTGTAAGTTAAAGCCATGATAGTCCGACTTTCGTTTTCCCTAGCTTCACATATGACCATGGTTCTTGTTTCTGAATTTGAGCTCCGCATATTCGAATCATCTCTTTGCTCTTGTGGATTGTTCCCTTGCGATTCTGGGAAAGGTAGATCAGGATATCAATCACTGGTTGGTGGTTTTAACCCATCTTGAAGAATATTAGGCAGTTGGGATGATGACATTCCCAATATGTGGAAAAAAATCCAAATCTATCCAAATGTTCCAAACCACCAACCAGGTAGATTGTATTTTTCTGCTGTTTGGCAGGTACCCATGCAGGCCTACGTCCTCAGGACGGGAACATACCCATCCAATACGTCGTGAAACATCGTAGCTCTAGTAGCTCCAGCTCTTCACGTGGGCGATGATAAATGGTGATAATCACCAGACGCATATTAACCAAAGTTCGCAAAGCTATGGAGATACCCTCTGGTAAACTAACATAGCTATGGAAAATCACCATTTTTTATGGGACATATCTAAATGGTCATTTTCAATAGCTATGTTAAATTACCAGAGGGTACAGAGTGATACAGTACACATAAAACAAAAAACATCGTGAATGACATCCCCAAACCTCAAATCTCCAAGGCGATCGTTTCGATAGAGGTAACCAACGGTCTTTGGTTGCACGATGATCACGATGCTGATACCCTGAAACTCAAATCCCTAAAATGTTACGGGAATAGTATTTTGGGATGTGAACACCATTAATGTAAGATTGGAGATATTTGAGTTTGTACAAAAAAACGACCCAATTCTCCCAGTTGCCTATCTTCTCCATGAAAATGTGGGATCCACCATTTTCAGACTTAACCCAAATCCATTATTCAGTGGTTGTCATCCGAATTTCTGATGTTTGAATAAGCATTTTGGGTGAAATTTCAATTTTCCAGATGGTGGACCCATATTTTCAAAGTCAAATAATCTTAAATCATCTTAAATCCCTGTTGAAGATCTCCGAAAAAATAGGGGTACGCTCTGGTAAACATACAAATAGCTATTGAACATGGCCCGTTGAAATCGTTGATTTTTCCATTAAAATTTGTGGATCTTTCCATAGTTTTTTGTATGTTTACCAGAGGGTACCCCATGGTGGGGATCCCTCCAGGAAACCGTATGTCGTACATATTCTTGGTGAGTTATACCATGAAGTCCCATTAAATCTCATTCAACCCAACTGAATCACCATTGAAATCCCATTGAAATCCAAATAAGATCCATAGAAACCCCATTCGAATCCGATTTTCGATGATATAACTTATAATTTATAATGATATATGTTAATCCCATGAAATCCCATTATAGTTAGTTACGAGTACATTAATGATTTAAGTTACATGTTCAAAAACACCCACCATTTTGGACAACACCGGTGTCTCCATACACCAAGAGACCCGTCGATGGATCAAGCTCAGAGGACCCGTCGATTGTGGCCAGCATCCGGCGGTGTAGTAAACCGTGTACGACAAGCCCATCCTCAGTTTGCTTGAGTCAATGAAGCCTGGTGAATTCATATTGATATGGGCTCATATATAATCAACTATAGTATGGTAAAAGTATGGTAAATTCATGTAAATTGATAGTGGGATTAAAACTGATAATTCGGATAATTCCTTAATTGATAGTGAATCAACTATAGATCACTATAGGATAAATCGTGGGATAACTCGTATGGGAAGATTACGTATGATCCCAGCTAATCCTATGGATCCAAGATGATTCACAGACCTTCTGAAACATTTGGGGGTTGATTTACCCTCTGGTTAATATATGGTTAATATATGGATAATCTATGGTTAATATATGGATAATCTATGGTTTATGGTTAATAGTGATCATAGTGATCATAGTTTGAAACCAACTACCCTCTGGTGAACTAACATTTTGCCATGGAAAATCACCATTCTTAATGGGAAAATCCACTATTTTCATAGCCATTTTCCATTGCTATGTTAGTTCACCAGAGGGTAAGGATTTTTTAAATGGATAGTCATCCCATTTAAATGTTCCTTTGCAATGGGTTCCCAATTTATCAATATTGGGGGTAGCTATTGGGGTAATTAGTGAAAATTAACAGTGGACAATGGTGGGATATCCTAAGGGTAAATTAACTGCTTGGTGGTTTTTCGCCACCCCTCTGAAACATAATGGAGTTCGTCAGTTGGGATGATGAAATTCCCAATATATGGGAAAATGAAACATGTTCCAAACCACCAACCAGATTATGATTAATTTATATACTTGGGAAAACTATACGATCTGTGCCTCTGGGTGAATTAAAGTTCAGCTTGCTAATTGAAGGGTCAATGAACCCTGGTGAATTCATACAGTTGGGATAGACAAGAAATGGGTGAATTATCCTCAGCTTGCTAATCCTATGGATCCATAAATTGGAGGGTACTGTACCCGCACACCCTCAAAACCATAAGTGGCCATGAAATATGACATTTTTTGGATGATTTTGGGGTGCCCCATGTTTAGAAACCATCCCTATATTCCCCATACAGTCTGTTCCATTGATGGTCCGATATATTCCCTGATATCCCATGGATATGGATAAATCGTATATAATCCCAACCAAACAAGTTCATTTTGGGGTAGTTATCCCAATTCTACCATTTTTTTTACTCTCTAGTAATTTGTCACAGCTATCGAAAATCACAATGTTTAGTCGCTAAATCAAACTGTTCATGGGCCATGGCTTCCATAGCTACCAGTATGTTTGTTTACCAGAAAGGCTACGTCCCCATCATCCCAATCCCATCTTCACATCGTAGATTGGCCATATATAGTCATTTCATTAAGCATCATTAAACATAGTTAAATGTTCACTAAATACCATTAATCCCCATTAAATCCCATGAATCCCCATTAAATCCCCATTAAATCCATCCATCCCATCGAACCGCGCCACTCGTTGATCAGCTCCGCCCCGATGTCAGTGACCTGGGTGGCATAGTCCAGGCGACACATGGCGGAGATGCACACCACGAAGACCTGCGACGCGGCGCCGACGTGGAGCGCATGGCGTGGAGAGTTTTCCCCACATGGACCATGGAATGATCCCTAGGGAAATATGGTATATTATATCCCATGGGATCCATGTATGCTATATATGGTAACATGAATCCCATCAATATACCCCCAATGTTAGCATATATACCATACATGGATCCTATGGGTATCGGGAAATAATCCTGTTGGAAATATGCCATTCCGTTATATGGACATTCCCTAGGGAATAACACTGGTTTCATTAAAGGAGGCTGTTTAGGGGGATGGGAGTATTGTATATTATCTGGTTGGTGGTATACCTACCCCTCTGAAAAATATGAGTTCGTCAGTTGGGATGATGACATTCCCAATATATGGAAAAGAATCCAAATGTTCCAAACCACCAACCAGGGTTAAAAAAAAAAGTGATGAAGTCCTCAGAAAAAAAAAGGGGAAATCTGATGAATCTGATGAAGTTCTCAGTTTATATTTATATGATGATATATATATAATTATGTAATGTGGTTAATTTATCGTTACATCATCGTTAAATCATTGTTAAATCAAGGTAAATCCTAGTTGCTAAAATGGTGGGATTCTTGAATGGATTAACTTGGTAAACCTGGACATACGAAGAACAATGGTAAATTTGACCGATAAAGCCTTCTGGTTGGTGGTTGAGCCACCCCTCTGAAACAGATGAGTTCGTCAGTTGGGATGATTATTCCCAATATATGGAAAAATAAAATTCATGTTCCAAACCACCAACCAGCCTTGATTTTCACCAACAATGACCAACAAAGATGTCAAATCAGGGAAGACTTTAGGGGAAGCGAGTGTTGGTAAAACCCTGATTTTCCCACACAACAAGTGTGGGAAGCCAGTGTTCAGCGAGGTTTACCCTTCATTCCGTGTCACTCCAATGCCAGTTTGATCAAGTTATACATATTATAATAGATGTATATATTATACTATATATATATATTATATTATTATTTGTATAATATATAATATATTATACAAATACATATCATATGCAGTAAATAAATTACAATAAATGAATATAAATGGGTGATGTTCCATTGCCATGACTGATGACACTGGAGGCTATCGGTTGACAGCTCCACTTTTCTGGACCTGTTTTCGGAGCCCAGGTACTGGCATCAAACCACAGAGGCATAGGGGACAGGTATTCCACAGAGTGTAGGGAAGCTCCTGACAGAAGGTCCTGCAGCCAGCCAGTTCCAAAGCGAAAAGCCAGTTGTGCCGAGCGAAAAGCTTCATGCAACTTAAGTGAGTGAGGTTTGGGTTCAAGGCAAATAGAAGTCCAGATTGGTGGGTAAACATTGGATAAATGACAGGGATCATATCTGGAAACTGGGCTCTTTCCGGCTGGGTTACTTTATGTTACTTTCACCATGGATTTCACAGCTAGCCTGCTACCCTAGCAGTTTGGCTAAACTCTTCGTGACATGTGAAAATTCCTCCGGACTTAAAAAGCTACGGAGAAAACACTCCCGTTTTGGCCAACCATGCACAACTTGGTCTGCACACTGTACAGTAAAAATTGATCTAAGTCTAGGTACCCTGTGCTACTCTAACCACAGGGGTTGGTAACTGTCCCATTTTGGGAATATTGGACATCACCTTATAGTAGCCATTATAGACCATATACCTAATGGTTGGGTGATGTTCAATGGGGACATTTAATGACCCATGAACCAGTAGTAGCTATGGAAAACCACCATTTTCATGGTCATCTACCCAAGCTCCGCAGCTTCATCGCTGCAACACACTACTAGTTGCAATGAGAACCTCGCGACCAAAGCTACCTGACCCTTTAGGTGGTAAAAGCTATATCAAATCACCATTTTTAATAGGTAAACCATCTATAAATGGGCCATTTTCCATGGCTATGTTAAATAACCAGAGGGTATATCAAATCTCCATGATTGATGTCAAAATTCCTATCAAATTTTCCTATCTTTGATGCATAAATCCAGAGTGTTGATGGTTGAATCCATGAAAAAATCCTCATTTATGATGCCTTTTGATCCCCATGTTTCATGGATTAATCCCCATTTGTCATGATAAAGTGAAATCCCCAGCTTTCATATCTTTCATAGCCAAATCATGCCGTTTGATCCCCTTTGTTTCTCCAAGTTTCTGCCAGGAATACGAGTTTTCCGTCAGTTGCGCTTCAATGCGTGAGCCCAGTCTCCGCCGCACGGGGGGCGCCATGGCCGCCCGTCCCGGCAAACCGGGGAAACCCGGTGGGAAAACGAAGCTCGAGCCAGAACGAGGTGGGGCCCCGGCATTTTTTGAGCTGACCCCATGAGTGTTCCGAAGACTATTTGGGAGGATTTGAATATGTGAATTGCATTTAATTGCATTGTTTGTGTGGTTTTTACAAACTATAATGACCCATATCTATCTTTGATACCCTTCGATCTTCTGGCAAGATATTCATGGACATCCGGCTATTCCTGAGGGCCCCCGCACACGAAGTTACAACTTTAGACGAATGAGGAATCACAGTGGATATATCATATATCTTATAACTGGGGCGAGCCCTTCGGCCCTTCTACCCTTCGGTAATTCAATGTTGGTTGATTTAGCTTTAGTGAAAATGATGATTTCCCATAGTGTTTCTGTGAAATTACCATTAAAATCGATGATTTCCAATACTTATTATGTGAAATTACCATTAAAAACAATGATTTCCCATAGTTATGATGTGAAATTACCATTAAAAACGATGATTTCCCAGAGTCTTGTTAAACTACCAAAGGGCATCAAGGATGACTTCAGGATCCTGGGCAACCAACAAAAACATACAAAAATCTGAAAACATGTGTTGCTCTTGTGTTTTTGTAACAACCAAAACTGAAAATGTTAAGAACAGGTTAATAAACAACAGAAAAAAACAAGTGCCTTACAATTTGTTGACCATCGACTCTTCAGTTTCAATTTTGGTCTTATATAATCTTATATCCAGCTTGCTTACACCCGTTGTGCAGTAGCTGATCATATTGCCCATGAACTGTTCCAAATTTTTGGGCTTTTTCACATGGTATTTCACCCGTGAACCGGAACATCTCCAAATGCGTTGCCACCAATCATATACCCCCAAGTGTCAGATGTTTGTTGCTGCTAGTAATCACAGTAAGATATCAACTTGTTGTGTTTTTTTATCTCCGGTCTTGTTGGGTTCCACCATGTTCCACCCATCTTTGATCAAGTCCGACGCCCGCAGACTTCATCACCGGCTGTACTCATCAACCATTCGTTGTTTAACTGCGCAGACAGCACCTTTTTTGGCACGTTAATTTACCCAAATGTGTTTACCTTGGTTTAGGTGGTTATTTCATGTTATTTCTATGTCTTCAACGTTCGAGGAAAAATGCATAACATGCCCGTTAATCACAAAAAAATCACATCATGATCTATTGCAATTTCATTGTTTGATTACCACTAACCATCACATCATGATCCTAACTCGTTCTTCATCCATTAATCATTTTCCATTGTCATTAACCATCAACCATCATCATATCATGTTTCACATGCCAAACAATGGTGAGTTGAAACCACCCCCAGTAGAATCCTACCAAATCACAATGTTTGATCATGTTTGCTGATCAAATACAACTAAATCCCTATTTTCGTTGGTGAAAAAAATAAGTCATCTGTCAAATCCCTGGGGTTGATTCCTAGTGTTGATGCTTGTATCATTATCATTACATATCCCTATTACATCACCATTTTTGTCACTTAAATACCTAATATGTCATGAATCTCACAGTCAAACCCCTATTGTTAATGCTTACATCCTATTAAATCCCCATACCATCGCTATAAACTCATCTCAAATCCCAGATATCATGTTCAATCTCTGGTAGTCCACAAAAAACAATCGTTTATGCTGGTTATGGTTATGTTCCTTTTTACGCAAAAGAAAGGATAAAACATGATTAAACTACCCATCCAAGGTTGCGAACGATATTCCCATACTTTGCTGGTTGAAAATCATCCAGTTCCTGTTGTTGATGATTACATAAAACTGTTATATCCCCATACAGTCCCTACAAAATCATCTAAAATCCATAAAATTCCCATATCTTCCCAGACTTTGCTGTTTTGATATCCTCCAGCTCCCCCCCCCCTACCGTCATCCTCCAAGCGCTGCCGGTTGGTGCCGAAGTCCGCGCGCCCGCTGCGCCGCTCCGCGCGGAACTGAACGATGAGATCGTCGGGAGTGAAGTACCACTCCACGTCGTCGGCGTCTTGGCCCAGCAACGGCACATCTACCAGGAACTCGGCTCCTTAGACTCCAGGCTAAAAGGATTTCACTTAAATGGATCAATGGGACTTATCATCTGGTTATGACTAACATAGCCATGGAAAGATCCACCCATTTTTCATAGGTCAAGCATCTATTTCTATGGGCCATCTATACCATGGCTATGTTAGCCATAACCAGAGGGTAACTAACCAGTCGTACTTCATTATGGGTATAAATTGAATTCAGCTCCTTGGCGGTGTCCCATAGCCAAGGTGGTTAGTCATGGTTTGGCTAGGTGACCTTTGAAGAATTTGGTTGAATATCCGACACCGTTTTCGATGAATTTCACCAAATGGGACTGATAACTAACCAGGGTTATCAACATTGATGAAGCTATTACTACTAGTAGGTTCAAATGGTGTGGTGCGGGCAAATTTGTATTTAGCTATCGGTTTATCAATGGGGGTCTCATGGGGGAAGAACCAACTATGAATGGTTTAATGATGTTTAATGGTCTCCTCCAAAACGAGCTGTCCAAAGCCAATCATGTAGCAGACAATGGCACCGTCTGGCTTCTTGAAAGAGCTGACTTTTTCTTGTTGTCAGGGGGAGGCATTCTTCTCATTGCCCTCCCTGATCCATCATTCACAAATTCGTCCCAGTTCGTTCCAGTTTTCCAGCAAGTAGTGAATAACCTGCCCCTTGTGCTTCCCCTGAAGGTGCTTTAGGCCCTAAAGCGAGACCACATCAAGCGCAACTCATCCCATGTCACGGCATTCAGCATGGCGTCCATTGGCTTTGATCCTTCAAATTCATTGACGAAGTAATCAACCTTGACCTTAATCATACCTTCAACCGCAAGAGGGATTGGGGTAAGAGCGTCATTACGCTTCACAAGGAACATGGCAGTTGGCACAGCACACAAGCAAAGTGCCTAAAAGATAAAAAGTGTGAATCATGTGGTTGGAAACTCACTTCGTAGCTCCTTGTGGCTCCCTAGAAACAGAGTTGGCTACGCTGGAGACGAAAGAAATAACCATCAACTATGTAAGCTGGTACCTCATAGTTAGCTAAGTTGGTGCAAATAATTGACTAGGTGAATTCTATGGTTTATGGTAGATATATTTACAGGTAAAAGGGTTAAAAACCAACTAGGTCATTTTGCTCTGTAGACACCGAATGGTTTCGATGGACTCTCAGCCTCGTTGCTGCCACATGGCACGGCTGAACACTATCCAAGCTGGTTCCGCTAAGTTGCTTTAATTTGGTTTATAACTCCACTGACTTGGGTGTAATGTCAACCCCGAATTAATAAACCGTGGTTTATTAATTGGGGGGGTACTCCTCCAATTGTCATGATCTGATACTTAAATGGGCCCTCCCAATTAAACAGCCTAGGGGGTTATTAATCCAAGGTTGACATTATGGTGCATGTAAATATACATATTATAGTTACCCTATTACATAAACCAACTTAAAAGCTGGGGGGGCACCACCTTGTGTCAAGCAACACCTATGGTTTCCGCGGGATGCTCTCACACCAGTTCAAGTGATGATAGTGATGATAGTAAGCCTGCAGAATCGTCGAATATCAAGTCAAAACCTACCATGTTCTTATTAGTTTGAAAAAAAGTCTAGTTACCCTCTGGTAATTTAACATAGCTATTGAAAATTGCCATTTATAGTGGATTTACCCATTAAAAATGGTGATTTTCCATAGTTATGTTAGTAGGATGTGTGTGTATATATATATATCCATCATAAATCGAATGACCATTACCAACTTAGCAATTTCGAACTGGGGTTGCATCCTGCTGCATCCAAAAAATCCTGGTACAATCCCCCAATAGAATCCCGAACTAAAAGTCACCCAAAAAAAACCTCTCGAACAAATAAGGGCCAGAACTGTTGAAGCTCATATCAGTGTCATATCATATGATATTCGTGATGTATTGTGTTACATCAGTTACATCCCAAAAAAATACACAATTTGTTTCCCGGTAGCATGTTCCTGGTAGCAGTCAACCTTTAGTAGTCCACAAGAAAAATGTAATATGTTGCTGGTTGTGGTTGTTCTGTTCACTTCTATGCAAACAAAGAACAACTTATATTATATCCATTAACATCCACTAATATTCCTATTATTTCCGTTGGGGATGTTGTAATGGAAACAAACTCTGAGTCCAAGGAACTATCATGTTATTTCATGTTATGTTATATCATAGCCCCAATTCAAACACACAATTTCACACCTGCTAGTGACTGGTCCATAATTTCTCGAAACGCACCAAGAAAGTCCGAAAGTCCAAGGAACTGAGATATCTTTGGTCCTCACTTTGGGACAAAATGCTGCCTCCAGCCTGTGTTTTTGGAAAAAATGCGGCAGCTGGGCTGAACCATGGGATAAAATATTGGTTTTAATAACAGTAATGGCATTATAATAGTTGGTTTTAATACCATTAAAACTGGAATACCATGGGATAGTTACAATACCAGGGTAACATTTATGTCACAGTTTCAGATTGTTCGTCATATGCCGCATATGTCCATGATATTCCCACTATATTCCCATTACTTTTGACGTGTTCCTCATTATCAAACCAACTTTCATATTCCAAGAAGGTTACCCTCCCGTAACCGATTCCATACATGTGGAAAACCCACCATTTGTAGATCATTTTCTTTGGCTAACCATCAAGTTACCACATCTTTTTCTATGTTTACCCTCTGGTAATTTAACATGGCTATTGAAAATCACCATGTTTAATGGGAAAATCCACTATAACTGGCCATTTTCAATAGCTATGTTAAATTACCAGAGGGTACTGTTTACCCAAGGTTTTGTTCACCGCCCAGATCTTTTCACGAGGATTTCACTGTGAAATCCCGTCATTTTTATATCTGCCACCATGGATTTCACCCATGTGGATTTCCACATGTTACATGGATTCCTCATCATTTACATGGGAGGATCCTCATGAAAACTATTTCCACCCAAACTCTCTTCACTCGGATTTAGCTTTGAAATTCCATTTTTACATGTTGTACATTGATTTTCCATGGGTTTTTCATGGGTTTTCCATGGGTTTTTCATGGGTTTCCTGATTTTCCATGGTTTTCCATGGTTTTTCATGGCTTTTCATGGATTAGCCATGGATTTGCCATGGCTTTTCCACGGGTTTTCCACATCGCCGAAGCGGTCATCCCCCTGGATTTGTCCATCCCCAGCGACCTCCAGCACCGCTCGTTTCAGCTGCGATGAGACGCGCGGCAGATCGACCTCAACAGCGGTCGGAAACAAATGGTCACCTTATCGGAGATAAATTTGGATGCTAATCATGATCAATGTATATCAATGGTATATGAATGATTATAAATGGAGGATAAATATAATGATATATATATATATAAATTATATGTAATGATATATATATATATATGTATGCATGATACAGTAATTCCCAATAGTATAACCCCCACAACTACTCATCAACCAGAGTTTCGCACTGCTCAACTGGGGTGTCATCCCTTTAAACAAACAGTTGGTGGCTGGCGATTTCCACGAAAATGTTTCGCTTCATGATTGATCAGACAGTCATGACCAGAATATATGGACATTTCATAAAATCTAATGGGCATGTTAATCATTGGTGGTTTCAAAGTTTCAACCCCCTGAAAGACATGGCTATGGCTCAAACATGAGGTATGGACCAAGCGTTTTTGACCATTGATCCTGTGGCTTACCAGGGTGCCTGGGTGCCTACACGATAGCAAAAACAATCCCACAAGTTCGGTTTGGGACCCTTTGTGAAGTCATGTGTTGATACATATCATCCGGCACAGCCTCAAAAAAATGAGCAGATCATGAGGACCCTACTTCACCATGTAGAGGTATCCTATTTCGTCTTGATGTGTGGTCGAAAGCTGTTGGAAAATTTGCGGTCGTGATCGTTGCACCTGCCGTCATGCTTCAATTAAACTTGGTTCAGTCCCAACATCTTCCGTTTAACCATTAATAGATTTTGAACATGTTTTAAATTCATATCTTAAAACCATTGTTTTTTAGTTATCTTCCGCTTAATAGATCTTAAACAATCTTAAAAGGCCATTGTTGCGTTCTAATCTCCATGGTCACCTCGTCAAATCCATGGTTTTCTTGTGAACAAAATCATCAAATCCCCCGAAATCCCTTTAATTCCTTCAAAAGAACTAGATATCCTAGTCTCCTAGTTCACTAAATACTAAATTGGCAACTCTTAGAAACAAATCCAAACCTCCCAATTCAATTCCAGATATTTCATGATATTTCCAGATTTCAAGTTCAAATCAGTTCCAATCCCATATGTTTCAACATGTTTCCCACAGTTTCAAGCCATTCCCCATCTCCTTGAAGCCCACTGTACCCTTCCCGCCTGCTGCCCAGCACGAGGTTCCGGCAACTGCCACGGAGGCTCAAAGACCTGGCTAGACCGAAAGGCTGTTGAATTTAGCCATAAAGAATATAAATAAGAAAAGGTGATTAGTACCCATGACGGATCCATGGTGCTGGTAGAAAAATGCTAACATGACTGGGGTATATTGATGGGATCCATGGAGCACCATATATAGCAGCACCATGGATCCTATGGGGTATAAATAAACATAAACTAGCAAAAAACATCACAAAACGCTGTAAAAAAAGGTGTCCCACAGGGTACCACTCTCAAAGAAGAGAGTGGTACCCTGTGGGCCCCCCCAGTTTTAGCCATCCCTCAGAGGGGACAAAGTTTTTCAACTCTCTGGGCATGTCACACTTTCTGAAATGGTGATTTAACTGTCAAATGATGTGATATAAGCATCAATGAGATATCATTAAAAAAACTCTATCTATATTTATTATAAATATATATATAAATATAATATATATATATATATAAATAATATATATATATACATATGTATATCTATATATACATATGTATAATATAATTGATATACAGAATTTAACACTCAAAAACTAGAATTTGACCATCAGAAAGGCTAATCAATCATAATATGAGAATTGTGTATCTCTATATATGAACATTATCACTAGGGATCATCACCAGCTTCATATCATCTGCATGGAATCCTTATAAAATCACACCCAACCATATCTCTCTTAGTCAATTAGAATAATATTCAGGGACGATAGATAACCTAGAATTAGCGATGGACAAGGGGGACTCAACATGACCTATCAATCCATGGGAATTTGATAAGGTTTTAAACGAGCAATGGATCAGGTTATGAGGTTACGAGATACCTGGAAACCTCAAGTCATCTCAAGTCCAACCAGCAATAGCCATGCGCGTGTTTCCCTACGGTAACGAAGAATCCCTTAACATTTCTGATTGAAACTGCAGAAGCCGCCATGGCTATTTCTGGTTGTTCGGGGTTTTAGATGTTTTAGGAACTTGTCAGACTTGTCATGTCGTTGATTATCACGATGCTGGTTTGTAGTCAAGTATAGATATGAGGTCCAACGAGTCACTTTGGTGGGCATCAAATGGTGAATGTCGGGGAAAAAAAAAAACAACTTGAACCATCTCCAAGTCTATCTGAAGATTAGGACACCTGAATTGAACAACAAAAAGAAAACGGACTTCAAGTGGGTACCCCACCTTTTTTGGGCAAACCTATATTTGTAACGTTTAATGGACAAATTCCAAACGTACTGGGAATTAAGCCTTGGGATCGATGGATTTCCTCATGGATGTCCCAAGAAATGTTCCAACGAATCTGAATGGATCCTGTTCCATCAAATGTGACTGAATCGTTTTCCCGATCTGAATGGTCATTTATAGGATGATCATATATGATCATATATTATTATATGATCATATAATATATGATCATATAATATATGATCATATTGTCAGTTTTTTACGGAATATTGTAAATTCATGGATCAGTTCCCATATTTTCCCATATTTTCCCATATGTTCCCATATTTTCCCATATCTTTCCATATTTTTCCCTAATTTTCCCTAATTTTCCCCAGTTTTTCCTAGTTTTCCCTAGTTTTCCCTAGTTTTCCCATATTTTTCCCATATTTTTCCCTATTTTCCCATATGTTCCCATATTTTTCTCATATTTTTCCCATCTTTTTTTCCATATTTTTCCCATCTGGTTTTCCCTAGTTTTCCCTAGTTTTCCTGGTCATTTTATGCGTTGCCATGGTTGGGAAGCCATCGATCCCCACCGCGACGCCTCCGGCCGATCGTCCTGCGAAGCCACGCAGCCATTCAGCTCGCGCAGGCCGCCGGTGCAGCGCGCCAGGAGGTCTCAGATCCAGGGAGTGGGCGGAATGTGTTTTTTTTGGTGATCTAATGATGTATATTGCTTATTGAATGGGATTTAAATGGGATTAAATGGGATTTAATGGGATTTAATGGGATAATGATGGGATAATACTGGGACGTTTTTGGTGGTTTAATGGGATTTAATGGTGATGTTTATGGTAAATCTATGGTAAATTTATGGTAAATCTATGGTAAATATTCCACCAGAGGTTTCTTTTGTTGGTGGTTTACCCGGCCTGGTAACAATACAAAAAGCTATTGAAAATGGCCATTTATAGTGAGTTTTCCCATGAAAAATGGTGATTTTCCATAGTTATGTGGCTGTTTACCAGAGGGTAATGGGATTTAATGTGGGAAACTGGTTAGATTAGTTCTGTGGGAAACTGGTTGGATAAGTTATGTGGGAAACTATGGATAACTAATGTGGGTTGAATGACTGGTTGGTGGTGCAATAACCATCTTGAAAAATATGAGTTCGTCAGATTGGATCATCATCCCCAATCTGGTTGGGGAAAATAAAAATCATGTTCCAAACCACCAATGGGATTTAATGTGGGATTGATGTTCCATAGTTATGTTAGTTTAAAGTGGCAATCTGGTTGGTGGTGCAATAACCATCTTGAAAAATGATGGAGGTCGTCAATGGGAAGGATGACATCCCATATATTATGGAAAACCACAAACGTGCCAAACCACCAACCAAATGGTGAAAGTGGCAACAAACATGTGGGAAGATCAAATCAGAACATCCAGAAATAGTTTTGTCTGGCGAAAATCTGTGGAATTCGGTTTCAGTGGCGATGGGGAAATCGCAGCAATCACCGGAAACATCATTGATTCGACCAGCAGTTCAAGCAGAAACTGAGTGACTTAACGACCAACAAGATTGTCCTCCAAATGTGCCTATCTAATAGCTGGTTGGTGGTATACCTACCCCTCTGAAACATATGAGTTGCAACAGCCGCTCCCGGCAAGCCACATCGTGTTGCCCAGACGCCCCAGTCAGGCATGGGAGGTACTTGGTGGGATGGGCGTTACCAAATCCAAGCACAGAACACGGCAGCCGACTTGTGATGTCCCAAAGGACGCCCCCGGCGTCTTGCGCGCCATTGAAGATATACCACATTGAAGGATCCTGTTCAGTTCACTTGCCAACTCGCTGCCATCTCCGTTCTTGGCATTGCCAGCAATTAGACCAAGCATTCTCAGAAATCGGTACGATTCATCCAGGTTCAAGATGTTCGCCATATGGGTCCGGGAAGAGGAGCCATCAGAGAAATGGAACTGCGTCCACTCACTGCTGCATCGGGCTAAAAAGGCTTGTTCCGTGAAGCTCGCCAACATGCAAGATTCATGAGTTTTCCCATGAAAAATTGTGATTTTCCATAGTTATGTGGCTGTTTACCAAAGGGTAATGGGATTTAATGTGGGAAACTGGTTGGATTAGTTCTGTGGGAAACTGGTTGGATAAGTTATGTGGGAAACTATGGATAACTAATGTGAGTTGAATGACTGGTTGGTGGTGCAATAACCATCTTGAAAAATATGAGTTCGTCAGATTGGATCATCATCCCCAATCTGGTTGGGGAAAATAAAAGTCATGTTCCAAACCACCAATGGGATTTAATGTGGGATTGATGTTCCATAGTTATGTTAGTTTAAAGTGGCAATCTGGTTGGTGGTGCAATAACCATCTTGAAAAATGATGGAGGTCGTCAATGGGAAGGATGACATCCCATATATTATAGAAAATAAAAAACGTGCCAAACCACCAACCAAATGGTGAAAGTGGCAGCAAACATGTGGGAAGATCAAATCAGAACATCCAGAAATAGTTTTGTCTGGCGAAAATCTGTGGAATTCGGTTTCAGTGGCGATGGGGAAATCGCAGCAATCACCGGAAACATCATTGATTCGACCAGCAGTTCAAGCAGAAACTGAGTGACTTAACGACCAACAAGATTGTCCTCCAAATGTGCCTATCTAATAGCTGGTTGGTGGTATACCTACCCCTCTGAAACATATGAGTTCGTCAGTTGGGATTATTATTCCCTAGATATGGAAAAATAATCCAAATGTTCCAAAGCACCAACCAGAATAGTCTATGATACTCTGCAAAAAACACATGGTTAGATGGTTAGATGGTTCGTAAATGTTACCCTCTGATAAACTAACATAACCATGGAACATCACCATTTTCACTGGGTAAATCCACTATAAATGTGCCATGTCTTTGATGCTTTTTGTATGTTTACCAGGCCAACTCACCGATCCCATTACACCTGATATCCCGCTGTATGGTATCCCGCTAAGTGGTCTCCATGAAATGAAAAAACAACACAACCCAGGTAAGTAGAATACTGCAGTTAGATACTTTAGCCCATTAGTACCTAACAACTGGATACAACTGGGTTGATATACAATGTACATGTAAGTAAGCATCTAAATATTTAATTTCAGATACACATAATCATAAGCACTGGGTTCGTATGTACATTTCTCCAGTCTGTGATTGAACTGTCCTTTGGTATCGTATCCCATAATTATATCCTTATTACAGTATTTTAATGGTTTCTACCCAAATTTCGATACTTGGTTAACAACCCTGATCACTAAGTCCCCTAATTGGGATTATATAATTATCCCACTTTCAAGTAGCTTGTAACCCCACTAAAACGAATTCAATTCATAGTTGAGTCAGTTGAGTCTCTCTTGTTGATGGCAACATCCCATTAGATCCCCATACAAACCCTATCAAACATCAAAATAACATAACATATCCAAAACACTTATCAGATCTTATTAGCAGAGATGGGATTACCCTCTGTTCATTAAACAGTTTGCTGTTGAAATCACTATCTTAACAGGTAAATCATTAATTAGCCATTTCAGCTACCTAAACTAGAGGTACTGCACCATACAAAGCCATAGAAATTGGGGGCACATCCCCTTACATAGCTTACATAGACCTTGTACATGGTAGCTAAAATTCCTGACACTAAATATATGGATGTCATCCAGATGTCATTCTAGACATTATTTATTAGGAATACATGTAGCATCATGTAGCTTGTTGCTACATCCAATAAATCGATTCCTGACATGGTCATTGGTTGAACTACTAGTAAGTGGATCATTTTCCATAGCAAACACAGCTCGCTCGACACCGGGGCGTCCGACCGTCCATGACGCCGAGGCAGCCCACACAGGTGCCTTCCTGCCAGCCCCCGTTGGTGATGGGATTTCATGGGGATTTAACGCTGATTCATGATAGCTAAGTTGATGGAAATAACACCAATAATGCGGCTATGATCAATAAATAATAAATGTATATAAATTATATAAATGTTACATCAACAATTCACCCATGAAAAGGGAATACTTTGTCCACCACTTTCGTCTGAAAACAGCATGTTCGGGGCCACCAAAGGATTCGGGGGACTTTGTGACCGTGTAAACACACACCACTCGGGATATTTGGTATTGTTGAATATCTGAGACTAATCAGCAGTATGATGTGAATAATGATATGATATAGTTAGTTGATGTTAGTTGGTATTTAGTAGATGTTGAAAGTATGTATTGAATTTATCTGAGGTCATCAACTATTTGAGATCATTACAAATGATACTGAACTTAACTAGAGTCTTCTGTTCATGGAACAAACATCGACCAAACTTGTGAAGATCACCGATTATCAAACATGACAATCATGAAATCCCGACTTTTCTCTGTTCAAAACAATTATACCATTTTGGAGATTTCTCACACGCACTTCGTCGTTATTTATCACTTTTCCAAGTCAAACCTTACTCTTCAGAGGACTGTGTCTTGAAGACCAGCAACGATCACTTAATAAGGTTACTAAACGAGTGGAAAACTGCTGATACTATTATAAACTTAATGCAATTACAGATTTTACATCCATTTTCCATGATTCCATGATTTTCCAAATTTTGTTCCTGGTTTCTCGCCCCAACCCCCATCCCATCCTCGGTCCTCCGGTGCGGGTGCCAACGCCGCCGCAGAACGCGGCCGCAGCGCCAGCGCCACAACCGCGCCCGCCGCAGCTGCGCGGCGCAGCAGCGCGGCGCGCGGCGAAGGGTGACAGAGACAGAGGGCCAGGGCCGTCAGCAGAAGAGCTGCGCAGGTGGTTTCCGAAGGTTTCCCCAGTTGGAGTTGGTGCTCAAGGGTTGGACATGGTACAGTAAAACGACACACCAACAATAGGGAGAGTTTACATGGGATTCCAATGACCACCCCCTTGGTGGGAAAACACGCGTGCCTTGATAATGGCACATTGCTGGGAAATGACTGGGATGAATGGTGGCAAAAAATGGTGGTATAAAAACGCAAAAAAATGGTCTGGTATCAATATATTATATTATATATATAATGGATTATATATATTGGGCCTATCGTTGAGGCAGGGTCACAGCAATCCATCAAAACACAAGGGGATTGTCTTCTGCCAGCACTACTGTAGGAATTATTTCCTGGGATATCCACAGAAGAACCGAGACCAATGGAGATTTAGCCGCACAAAATGGTGATTTTGGCGTGATTGAACGATCAAACGCAGGGATTTTTCAGCAATGAATGATGGAGATGGATCGACTTGAGTTCTGGGTACAAGCTACAATTAGCCAGCATTTGAATCAACAAACAATCGTCATATTGATGATACCCTCTGGTAAACTAACATAACTATGGAAAATCACCATTTTTAACGGGAAAATCCACTATTTCTATGGCCATTTTCAATGTTAGTTTACCAGAGGGTATACCAAATGTGTGGGCCAGGGCCAGGGGGTCGAACCCTTGGTACTACCTGTCTTTTCACCGTGTCATGGATAGCGACATGTTTTCTGGATCCTACTCTTATGGACTCGACATCCCACCAGCCAGACATCTTCCAGGAAGCCTTCAAAAAAATGGATTGGTAAAAGCGTGGATCTCTGGTACACATGTGAACTTCAACGTGGAAGCCACAAAAGACTTGCTCTTAAAGATTGCTCTCGAACTAAAACATGTGATAGTGTATTTGGTGTTCCATTGTCGCTTCCCAGCAGATAAGTCTACCAACAGTAAATGATATCATCTAAAATAAATATAATAATAACCAACAAAATCCAACAAATATTAATTAAATAGTGTATAATAGTGTGCATATCACTATCAAATTGTTATTTGTTGGGTTCATTGACTATGTATCTACTGTAAATATGAAAGTAGCCATCATTGTACCGTCATAAGAATATCACTTCAATATATCAAGGCTTTGGCGCGGACTCAACTGCAGCTCGCTCACCTTTGCGTCTGCCCTTCATGGCCGAAAATCAATGTTGTTCTGTGCTTCTGCTTCTGTTCTGCGCTTTTGTTTTATAGCTTTATCAAATCGTTTTAACATAATGTTTCTAGTCGCTTATAAAAGGATACTGTAATTCTAAACCTGGAATAGAACAAGATCGGAAAACCAGTGAGATGTGTATTTCGGAAACTGCAATGAGGTTTGTCTGGATTGTCTGGAAAATCCATGGAACCCACTGCACATCTAGGACTGTGGCCACCCTGAAAGACAATGCTCAAGCGCATCCCGTTTATGCTTGATGGTGAAAACTCAGCATTTTGTCGAAGCTTGTTCAAAACTATCATTTTTCCCCCTTCAACCATGATCACTAGCGCGATTCCCCTAATGCGCTTAATCATGAATTATCTCACAGAAAACGGTTAACGGTTGACATGTGTTACAACAGAACACCCAGTCAGCAACACGGTGTATTTTTGGTCGCCTCTCTTGATGATGCTCCGCTGCTACTAAGCGGTTTGCAATCCCAAACAACTGTTACGATCTGGTTATTTAACATAGCCATGCATGGAAAATGGCCCATTTATAGATGATTTACCTATCAAAAAGGGTGATTTTCCATGGCTATGTTAAATAAACAGAGGGTAATAAAGGCAAATCCATTTCTTTGGGAACAGCTTCAAACATTTCCTTGGTTTATTGACTTAGTCAGCCTACCCTCTGGTAAACTAACAAAAAACTATGGAAAGTTGGTTTACCTATATAACATGGTGATTTTCCATAGCTATATTAGTTTACCAGAGGGTATTGTTCTTTTCAAGCAAAACACAATGGAAACAAACAGGTCTAGACCTTGGGAGCATTGCAGCCTTTATCTTGCTGACTTTTGTGGTGTTGGCCACATCCAAAAATTGTGACACATGGCAACCAAACAAATAGAAAGGTTGGAAACCTGACCTCAAGTGGTCAGATCCCTTGTTTACTCGATTCCCGAATTTGTGAGTGCTTTCCTGCGCAAAAAAACACATGTTCACCCTGAACTTGAAAAAAACCGCCAGTTTACTTTCATAGGAGGGTACGATTTCATATTTTTCTCAAGAAAAAAGATGGCACTGTCTTGAGGGCAACCCATAGCCCACCAATCACCAAACACAGTTTATTAATCCGGGATTGCATCACGTACGAATGTCTTGCCCGACGTCCCAATTCTTGGTCTTGTGTATTGTTTTGCTGATTATGTGGAACAAAAACGGTTCATATTTCATCATATACCATACATTACCATACTTTTTAACCATAATTAACATGTAACAAAAAAACACACTAAACATCTCTGGTTGGTGGTTTCAACCCCTCTGAAACATATTAGTCAGTTGGGATTATTATTCCCAATAGATGGAAAATGAAATTCATGTTCCAAACCACCAATCAGTAATGGATCTATCTGGCCATAATCTGGAATTTTGGGGGAAGGGATTATATCATACAGTATCAAGGTAACATACGTATACATATAATAAGTTAACTCTCCTTAATAAGCGCCGTAATATCTTACACATCTTTTCCCATTGACGATTCATATCCCATGAAATCCCAATCGCCCAAGAAAACGTTCCGCTACATAGCGCGCTTTTAACCGATGGTCACTTGGACTTTGCGCTGAAGAGATCGTCTCCTTAGCAGGTCAACCTGGCTGGGTCCGGACCTCAATATTACATAACTGGTTGGTGGTTTGAACCATCTTGAAAAAAGTTAGTCAATGGGAAGGATGACATCCCATATATTACGGAAAATAAAACATGTTCCAAACCAACAACCAGATAATATTGCTGGATCTTGCCTTTACTGCCTTGCCTGGAGGTTTTTCCTAAAATGGGGGTACCCCCAAATCATCCATTTTGTAATAGGTGTTTAAATTAAACCATCCATTTTTAGGTTACCCCCCCCATTTATGGAAACCCCTAAAATCCTCTAGGCTTTTCCCCTGTTTGAAACTTCCGTCACCCGGCTTGGGCTCTACTGGTAGATCATTTTCCTCGAGTTTCCTCAGGTTTTTTCCACATCTTTTGGCACGATAAAACCCCATTGAGGCAAGGATCGATCCCGGCTACTTTCCGGGCGCAAATCCACGGTCAGCGTCACGTTGGTCCGCGCCAAACGCGTCTGAGGTGCGAGACGCGAGGGAAATATGTACGAGTAGCAGGAGAGATTATAATCGTGATTTCATGGGGATTTCATGGGGATTTAATAGTGATTTGATGGGATTTTTATCTGTGATTTCATTTAAGAGGATTTCATGGTGACTGAATTGGGATTTAATGGTCATTTCATGGGCTTCAATTGGCTTATAACTGTGAAGTTTGCTGAGTCATATAGCCTCCCGTAATCAAACGTGGCTGGCTGGGAAATCCCTTATATCTTGAGCTTTTATTACCCTCTGGTAAACTAACATAGCTATAAAAAATGGTGATTTATAGTGGATTTACCCATTCAAAATGGTGATTTTCCATAGTTATGTAAACGTTTACCAGAGGGTATTGGAAAAAACATCCACACCATGGGAATCTCCATTGCCATGTTTGATTACCGGAGGGTACCCCCAAAAGCCAGCTGTGTGTTTAGAAAACCAGACTGTTGTATTTGGGGTATCCATTTTGCAAACCAAACCCAGGTTAAGTGTGTTCTGGGCTTGGTCAATTGTGATGGTAAAACTTGGAACGGGGATTATACCATATTATACCTGCATCTGGCAAATAACACTATTTTTCCAGCCATCATTTCACCCATGAAAACGGTGGTATTTCTGTGTACTGTGTGTTGGTGGTACTTCCCATTGTACAGTCAACAACGGCCCCAGAAAAGCTTCAAAAACCATCACTTATCAGTTGCTGGATGTTGCTGGTGATCCAAATTTGCTGATTGCCATTCAGTTGGGTGACCCAGTCAAGCAGCAAATGAAAACGAGCTAGTCTGCTAGCTGTCTGACTATGATCCCACTTGAGACAGTAGCACTCATTTTGATGCTATGTCCCAATCATTGCCCATCTTTGATACCCTGCAAACAATTAAATTCTTTGTTGGTTAGCAGATATTCCCATTAATACCAAAAGACTAGTTAGGATTAAAGTATCCATGTAAGATTGACCTAGCAATTAAGGGTTTCGTAATTTGATGCCACCAAAACCCACACCAGATGCTCCATGTATGGAATATTTACCTACATTTGGGTGAGTTTTGGGGTAAATGTAGGTAAATATTCCATACATGGAGCATATGGGCCACACCAGAATAACCCGTTATAAAATACCACGACTAGACGTATAAGGCCCCAGAAATCACCATCAACGTCCGTAAAGCCATGCCCATCCGCGGCAGCAGTCAAGGACCTTAACATCCTGGGCAAACTCCGCCCACTCCTCATACGTGACCTTAGTGGCATGATAGGTATCGCATATCTAGTTGGTGGTTTCACATGAAAAATATTAGTCAATGGATGTCAATGGGAAGGATGACATCCCCTATATCCCTATATTATGGAAAATAAAAAATGTTTGAAACCACCAACCAGATATATCCTGCGGATTGATTTGTCCGGTTACTGCTTCCACGCCTTCCAACATGAATTGATACAACCTATACTAATACGGTGGATGGGCCAGCGAAATCCGATAAACCACCAATTTCGGATGGTTGAAGCATGTTGAAACCCCAACAAAATAATGGGAGAAACCACCAAACCCTATCAATAATGGGATGTCAAAACCCACCATTTTCAACTGGTGATGAAAGGATTTCCCTGGCCCATCCCACTACGTATCAACGTATCATGGGAAAATTCAGATCCTTGGAGGTCACCGTGGCTGTCTCTCCCAGTGATCAAAAAACCCAAACGAAATCCTGGTGTAATGTGTTGTATATAATTACAATGTGAGGCCCCCAAGACACCTAAGTTGGTTTATAACTCCAATAACTATGGTTTATGGTACTTATAACTATAGTTAATGGGGTTTATAAACCAATTTATAACTGGGGACTGGGGGGCCTCACATTGTACATATAATTACTGGATTTATTCATGTGTCCCCAAAAAACGGTGTCGAAACATCGGATGGCAGGAAAAACAATGATTGCAGTACGCTTGCCCCTTTCGCATTTTTTCGTAGTGATTATAGCCACGATTTAGTGCTGGAAAATCCACTAGCGCAATGATTTGACCATGAACTCCGCCATTTCTGGTGGATTTTCCCACACTTTCCCGCGATTTTCTTTTGATTTTTCCTACTGAAATGCCCATTGAGGAGAACAACTGGTGGTGTACATCGATGATTTGTTGATTTATTTGTTCAATCAATATAGTGGGTGTATAAATCCCTATTATATACTATTTTACGGTTGTGGTACATCCATGTATATCCCAAACACATTTCCGGCCCACATGTGGTAAATATCCAGAGGTAACATCACCAAATTCCCTTCAAAAGCGGCTATCATTTACCTACAAGAGGTTGGAGCAACCCTGTTTACAGCAAAAAATATGGACAAAAATGATGATCATGCTTGAAACATCTGAAAATCCACCACTCAATGTTGCCGGATTTTCTGGAATATCATCATCATCATCACCATCATCATCATCATCCTTATCATCATCTTCATCATCATCATCATCATCATCATCTTCCTCCTCCTCACCATCATCATCATCATCATCATGATCATCCTCCTCCTCCTCATCATCATCCTCATCCTGAGCTTTGCCATGGGTCTATCTTTTAAACAAGACGTTTTGGAGACGAAAGGCGCAGTGATTTCACAGGTTGGGCACCTTTTGAGCTGACTTGAAAAATGGTTGATGCTCCAGTCGGTTGAGGATGTGATGGAGCTTATCAATGTCTATTGACTATAACATTCTATAAACCACATCCAAACCATTTATGTCTACTTTATTACTTTATTAATCATTATTATCATTTATAACTTAATCATGAACGGTTATTAAAGTAGACATAAATGGTCAAATGGAAACAAACCATATCCATTATTTTTTATGGTATCTATTTTATAACTGGAACATCCCACCATCGACACAGCCAGGCGACACTGCGCCCTGGGCCTACCGCGCGCTCTCGCATGCGGTCCTCGCTTTGCGAGGTCCGAACGTTTTCAACCAGAAAATCTTGGCAGGTGGGGAGTCAATTAGGAACTTAGTTATCCACCACTATAAGGTGTATTATCGATATCTTGTTGGATACAATTAAACATTTTAGAAGTTAATGCACGATATCTTGTTGGTTCCACGATACAGTGTATTTTAGTTGATGTTGTTTGTGGAAAGTTGGATCTCGGTTGCTTGTTCGATGTTCATGGATGTTCTGCTGAATGGGTTTACAGTGGGAGAAACGGTGTCTACCTCTATGGACAAGAATGCCAAAATGATGATTATGAACCATGATGAAGAAGAACAAACATATAAAAATAAAAGTGATGATGCTGATGATTATTATAACGATGATAATGATGATGGTGGTGACGGTCAGCTAAAGTAAAAAAAAACCGTCCTGGAACTGATCACTCAAGGTCGAGACATCTCAACCCCTGACCCACTAATGCCGTAGCAGTGATTATTCCAAGGGTTGCATTTTTTTGGGGATTTTGTTCCCGTTTTTTGTTGGATATAGATATAGATATAGACATAGATATAGATATAGACGCAGATGTAGATGTATATGAATAGATACAGACAGATGTAGATATGGATATAAAGGCGACCAGGCTCCATTCCTTCCTTCCTTCCTTCCTTCCTTCCTTCCTTCCTTCCTTCCTTCCTTCCTTCCACCAGAAAACGGGAAAAAAATTAAAAAAAAAACGGGAAAAAAAACAAAAATAATAGCCCTCCTTATTCCAAGGGCTACACCAGCTGTTGTGATGTTCATTAGTGACTATACCAGTGATTATTCCAAGGGCTACTCCCAAGTCCCCATTACAAGTTATAAGTAGTTATAAGAATTGAGCCAGTAAAAGATTCACCGAAGCCAGATTCTCTGCAGGTTCGACACTTTAGGAATGCTAATCTAGCACCAAACCAGTGAGACACCTGGATGTGTGGGCACCACATACGGTATATATATATGGTCAACCATGCATATATCATTATACATATATATATATATATCATATAATATCACATATACATATAGTTATATTATACATATAAAACAGTAAATCTAACATTCAATGTCAAAAACCGGCCTTTCTACCATTCCTAACCCTTTGCTACTATATGTCCACTTGTCTTCCAGCTCCAAATCCTTTGAGGAACCCAGTCCGTCTCTTTGGACAGTTGATGCAAGTCTTCCGGCGGCTCTGTGTCATTCTGCGGCGCCTTTGCGGAGTTGAAAAAATCCGAATGTCCATGGGCTGATTTTCGACTGGTGGCATCTGCTGTATCAAACAAAAAGGCATGGACAATCCTTGGGTTTTTGGCATAGTGTCAAAAATTCTTTGGAAATGCCCACAGAATTGTCATTCATACGTTTGTATTGTATCTATTTTTTGGATTCGTGGTGTATAATACTGTGTGGGTTTTTACCAAACAATGGAAACAAAGAATTGGAAATGGCATGAACAAAAATGGTAAAATCATCCAATTGTTGCATGGAAAATCAACTTTTCAAGCATGGAAAATCATCCAATCCAAGGCTTGAGAAAAAAAATCCCGGCTCAACATGGGATGGCCACGAGGCCGTGAGATCCCACCCCTTCTGGACGACCCAACGAAAAACCATGGTGGATTCGTGGGCCGGTGCAGTCCCAGTTCGTTTGCGAAGTTGGTTTATAATACTAGGGCTCATGGTAGATATCGTAGATATCATATCATATCAGGTCAGAATAAACATATAATGATGATATATACAAAATTTATCATATATCATATATCTTATGTCATATATCATATCATATCTATAGTCGATGGGGTTTGTAAACCAACAAATAATTATAGCTGGGAGGCTGGCACAATTTTCCGATGATACATCTGCTTGCCGCGATGTGGGAAGCATATCCCAGCCCCAGTCACTTGCTACTGGGGGATGCATCCCACTTTGAAAACGAGTTGTACCCTTAGTTATATGTACATACGTACATACATACATACATACATACATACATACATACATACATACATACATACATACATACATACATACATACATACATACATACATACATACATACATACATACATACATACATACATACATACATACAACATACATACATACATACATACATACATACATACATACATACATACATACATACATACATACATACATACATACATACATTACATTACATTACATACATTACTTACATTACATACATACATACATACATACATACATACATACATACATACATACATACATACATACATACATACATACATACATACATACATACATACATACATACATACATACTACATACATACATACATACATACATACATACATACATACATACATACATACATACATACATACCATTACATACCATTACATACCATTACATACCATTACATACCATTACATACCATTACATACCATTACATACCATTACATACCATTACATACCAGTACATACCAGTACATACCATTACATACCATTACATACCATTACATACCATTACATACCATTACATACCATTACATACCATTACATACCATTACATACCATTACATACCATTACATACCATTACATAACATTACATACCATTACATACCATTACATACCATTACATACCATTACATACCATTACATACCATTACATACCATTACATACCATTACATAACATTACATACCATTACATACCATTACATACCATTACATACCATTACATACCATTACATACCATTACATACCATTACATACCATTACATACCATTACATACCATTACATACCATTACATAACCATTACATACCATTACATACCATTACATACCATTACATACCATTACATACCATTACATACCATTACATACCATTACATACCATTACATACCATTACATACCCTTACATACCATTACATACCATTACATACCATTACATACCATTACATACCATTACATACCATTACATACCATTACATACCATTACATACCATTACATTACATTACATTACCATACATTACATTACATTACATTACCATACATTACATTACATTACATTACCATACATACATACATACATACATACATACATACATACATACATACATACATACATTACATACATACATACATTACATACATACCATACATACCATACATACCATACATACATACATACATACATACATACATACATATATATACATACTCAATATATATATATATATAATCATATACACATGATATATACATATTCAATATATATATATATATATATAATCATATATACATGATAAACAAAATATCCCCACATATATATATATATATGGGATTGCATAGCTTATCTATATGGAGTATAAACCACATGGGATGCCAAAAAGAACAAACAACGTCCCCGGTGCACTTCCCGGGTCTCCCGACATTCAATTTCTTCACATTGATGGACATCCAATCCTCCAAGACGAAGCACAAGAAGACCAATTGGTTCAACACACAATATGACCAACACTTTAAAACCCGCCAACAAAATCAGGTGGATTTGGAAAATATCAAAGCTCCAATATGTTCCATTTTTTTTGCGTGCCCTTTTGCGATTCCAAGTTCCATCTTCATTTCGAGTGATTTCATCAAGCATTGTCCATGGAAACGTGCTTCTCAGGGGCCCCACATAGCGATGTGAAGTGTCAATAAACCCATGTGGGCCCCTCCCAGTTATAAGCTGGGTTATCACATCCATTAACTATAGTTTAGAAGTATCAGAAACAATCGTGAAATTGGAGTTGTGGCTAGTCGGAAGCCATCTCAAGCAGCCTGCAACCTGGTTGTGAGGTTCCTGTAATGTGGTGCCCCAGTTATGTGTGATTGTCAGAATAGTTTCACCGCATTGTTGAATATTGTTAACGAACTACTTCGATATATCAAGGTAATTCAAGATATTTCTATAGCATCTGTACCAATTTCATCAACTTAACAAACGGGTAAACTAACACAACTATGGAAAATCACCACTTTTAAAGGCTAAATCCACTATTTCTATGGCCATGTTCCAGTTCGCAAACTGTTAGTCATTACCAGAGGGTATATCCATCAATATACCAGTATTATCCCATCATTATCCCAGCAAATCATCCCTATAAGAACAAATTAAACTAGAGGGTAAACCCATTAAACCTCCATTAGTTTACCGGAGGGTAACAAACTGGGGCCACTGTGCAGCTTACACCCAACATCCGAGGCCGGCCGGCCTCCGATGGCATGGCAAACTCATCGAGCGAAACAATTTGGGCCTGCCAGGGTAGACGGTGGACGGAGGCGTCAGTGGAATTCGTGTGCCCCAAAGCCATGGGTTAAAAAAACATGTTTAATATATAATGTATATGTATATTTTATGTATATGTAATATATAATATATAATGTATAGTATATATTATATATTAAAAATTATATATTATATATTATAAAATATTATATATATTATAATCATAGGATCCACCATCCCCAATGTTCCCATGAATTTGGGTGGTATAAACCATCAATCCATATGGGTATTGACATGGTATTGTTCTACTAACATGATTTGATGTCCTATTCCCAAGCTTTAACCACAGTTTGTGGCTACACTGCTAGACTTGGAGTTCGGTTAAAGAGTCCGTGCCAGGTCTCATCCGATGTGATCCATGATGTCACCATAATTTGACCAAGGTTAGAGATATCCTTTGTGATTTTTGGTGTCTTCCGTGGTGAGAGCAGTACATTTCGGTGCAACTAACCTGAGAGCAAGGCCCGTCTGTTTGTAGGGTTCTGCTCTCTGTTACTGCTCATGAAGGAAATTGAATGTTCCGTCTCATGCGATCAAAGGAGAGTAATGGCAGCGATGCCAGAGAATTTTAACTGTATACAGAATAAGCATCAAGACTCCAAGAATCTAATACTAATAATCTAATAATTTAGATAATCTAATAATCTGACGGTCAACTCCAATAATCTAATAATTGCAATGTTTTTTGGGTTCCATCCTCACGTTTTTTCTGGTTGGCCTTTTGCCTTTGCTTCTCAAAGCCCTTGGAGAAACATGCCACGGCCGTGCGTTGTAGCGTCCACCATTCATAATCTGGTACAGGAAGAGAGGAGCCTCAGTGAAGCCAAGAATTTGTTGTTCCTTGATGTTAATTGAAGGCTGGATTCCATCTCGCGGGTAGCGTATAGTGATATATGTATAAAGGTAATATGTCAGACAGATATTAAACATATAGTATAAATAAGAACACATATAGATGTATATATATATATAAATATATATATATATATATACATGTATGTATACATATATATATATATGTGTATATAATATATATATATGTATAATATATATATATATATTATATATATATATTATATATATACGTACGTATGCCAAGAGGCCTCTCTGTGATCTACCTGTCATACCACACCGGCACCTTCTCATGTCACATCATCATCCAAATCCAAGGCTATTTTCAGAAGGCCTTCCCCCAAGTCGCAGTTAAAAACCAGTGCCAAGGTACCCCAGGTTTCAAGACATTGTCCGCCACCACCACGGCACCCGGGTGCAGCAGGTTTTCAGACCTGGATGAATGGAGTTGGGGTTACTTCTGATGATTGTCTTACTATATAATATATAATTTCACGAGCTCCTGGGATTTTGTGATTTTTAGGGAATATTGGATATCAAGGTCAAGATGCAATATTTGGTGCAGTGTACGCGCACAAGGGTGGCACCAAAAAACTTAAGCGTCATGGTTTGCACGGGTTTGCACTGGATCAGCCTTCCATAAATGGAATTGGTCCAATTAATCGTTCAGAAAAAATGAAACGGTCGGAAACGGTCGGAAACGGTCGGAAACAGTCGGAAACGGTCGGAAACGGTCGGAAACATGATCAGGCCAAAACTTGTCCAACCCGATTTTTTTTTAATTAAGCGTTTCTGCGCAACGCCGATTTTTTTTTGAAGGTCCAAAGGTGTCCAAGGGGAAACGGTTGGAAACAGTCGGAGATCGCACCTTCGCTCGGCAAAAAAGTAGTTGTTTTGTAGCATATGTTCATGAAAAATGTTCGAAAATTGTGTAAAAGCATGTCTTTTTTGCCGAGCGAAGGTGCGATCTCCGACTGTTTCCAACCGTTTCCCCTTGGACACCTTTGGACCTTCAAAAAAAAAATCGGCGTTGCGCGGAAATGCTTATTTGAAAAAAATGCGGGTTGGACAAGTTTTGGCCTGATCATGTTTCCGACCTTTTCCTACTGTTTCCGACCGTTTCCGACCGTTTCATTTTTTCTGAACGATTAATTGGACCAATTCCATTTATGGAAGGCTGATCCAGTGCAAACCCGTGCAAACCATGACGCTTAAGTTTTTTGGTGCCACCCTTGTGCGCGTACACTGCACCAAATATTGCATCTTGACCTTGAAGTAAATTTCGTGGGATTTGGGGGTATTTCATGGCATCTGGGGGTCATCCTGTTTGTTTTTTTAACATGATTTGGACCTTTACACTAACAGTCACCACAATCCAGACCACAAAAAAAAAACACAAGCATGATGGACCCAAAATGCCATTGAGAAGTTGGGTTGGCACATTTTGTCAGTCTACCACACAGAAGTTGGGTTTTTCACAGCATAGAACCAATAGTTCATAAAGAAGTTGGGTTTGAATATACTTTGACCGGAAAAGGCCAATGAGAGCTTAGGTCTGTATATTGAAAAATCCTGTGCAACCCAGCACAGAGACTCAGATTATGCACCGTCCTATCGAACCAAAGGAGGCCCACCAAATAAATGGGTTTATGCATTCTGGCTGCCAGTGATTTTGTTGGATAATTTTTTTTCATGACTAAAATGACTTATCACAGAAAAAAACGATCATGTCTCAGAACATATGACGCATGCGACAGGATCATGTGTAAAAAGAGGACACGCCCTAGTCTTTACTTTGAAAGACTTGGCTGCCTGGTGTTCAAGCTGACCTGGGGATTTGGGGGGGGCTGCGGTGTAAACTTTTGGGCTGGGAAGTTGTGCTCTTAAGTACTAAACGTTGTGGGTTTGTTGTGTTTTTTCTTGTGGTTAGTTGTGCTGTTTGTTGTGCTAATTTTTGTGATCAAATCATCGGGAAGTTGTGCACTTTCTGTGTTTTTTTTGCATGGGAAGTTGTGAAGTTTGTTGTGCTATTTTTTGTGATCAAATCATCAGGGAAGTTGTGTTTTTTTTGGGTGTTCTTTTGTTGATGAAGTTGTGGTCGGTGCCAAATATAAAATCAATTAGATGTTTTTATTTTCTCCTTGGCTTGTTGTTGCGCAAAAATGATCAGGGAAGTTGTGCTCCTTAAGCCTACACGTTGTGGGTTTGTTGTGTTTTTTCTTGTGGTTAGTTGTGCTGTTTGTTGTGCTAATTTTTGAAAACAAATCATCAGGGAAATTGTACACTTGTTGTGTTTTTTTTGGCGTGGGAAGTTGTGCTTTTGATATTTTCTACCATTTCCAAAAGCACGGGCGAGCGCACAAAAAAAACACAACATCAAGCAAGGGTGTTTCCCTTAACAAAATTTGCACCTTAGCAAAATTTGTCACTGAAAAAAATGTCCCTTAGCAAAACTTGTCACTGAAAAACTTGTCCCTTAAGAAAATTTTCATTTTAGCAAAATGTGTGACTTAGAAAATTTTTTCCCTTAGGAAAAAATTGTCCCTTAGAAAAATTTTTCCCTTAGGAAAAAATTGTCCCTTAGAAAAACTTTTCCCTTAGGAAAAAAATGTCCCTTAGGAAAATTTTTCCTAGGAAAAAAATGTCCCTTAGAAATTTTTTTCCCTTAGGAACAAATTGTCCCTTAGAAAAAAATTTTCCCTTAGGAAAAAATTGTCCCTTAGAAAAACGTTTCCCTTAGGAAAAAATTGTCCCTTAGAAAAACTTCCCTTAGGAAAAAAATGTCCCTTAGAAAATTTTTTCCCTTAGGAAAAAATTGTCCCTTAGAAAAATTTTTCCCTTAGGAAAAAATTGTCCCTTAGAAAAACTTTTCCCTTAGGAAAAAATTGTCCCTTAGAAAAACGTTTCCCTTAGGGAAAAATTGTCCCTTAGAAAAACTTTTCCCTTAGGAAAAAATTGTCCCTTAGAAAATTTTTTCCCTTAGGAAAAATTTGTCCCTTAGAAAAACTTTTCCCTTAGGAAAAAATTGTCCCTTAGAAAAACTTTTCCCTTAGGAAAAAATTGTCCCTTAGAAAAATTTTTCCCTTAGGAAAAAATTGTCCCTTAGAAAAACTTTTCCCTTAGCGAAACTTGTCCCTTAGCAAAATGTGTCCCTTAGAAAAATTTATCACTGAAACGTTTGTCCCTTAGCAAATATTTGTGCCTTAGAAAAACTTGTCACTGAAAAAATTGTCCCTTAGAAAAAAAAAACCGTTTAGCGAACTCGTCCCTGCACTGTTGCCTTTCCCTTTGCCCAAAAGGGATTTTATCCAACAAAATTTCTGCAAGCTCCAACTGAATAGATTTTGATCTGGTTCTAAGTAGGCTGCCTCCAGAGTGATTTCATACTTCGGTTCAACATCCGAAAAATTTGGATTGAGAAGATTGGGCCTCTCAAATTGTTTGTGGTTTTGGTCCCTGGGTTGTTGTGCAATTTTGGCTGGGAAGTTACAATTAAAATCCATTATTCCACTGTTAGTGGGGGGGGTCACTCCAAGACATGATGGTTTTTTGTTTGATGATAGCTTTCAAGATTGCTGAGTTACTTTTGGGTCGAAACGAAAAGTCTACTGTACCAAGAGGTACCTTTGCATAATGACATCAACGATTCAAACAACAAAATGAGTTATTTCACTTGGACCGTGGACCTACCAAATTGCAAATCTGTCTAACAAAAAATCTGCATGTGAACCATGACTTGGTTCCCCCAAAACATTTGGATCCACCAAGTCTGAACAGAATCCTGCATATGAACCATGACGGGATCAACCAAGAATGTATGACATAAGCCTACATGTGAACCATGACTTGGACTCATCACATGAGGGTGCATATGAACTGTGACTTGGACCCACCAAGTCTGTAACATAAGCCTGCATATGAACCAGAACTTGGACCCACCAAGTCTGGGCAACCAAAACATATGAACCAAGACTTGGACCCACCAAGTCTGTATAGCAGAAACCTGTGTATGAACAAAGACTTGGACCCACCAAGTGTGTATTTCAATTATCCTTGAGGCGCATCCACCATTGGGATGCAACCTAGATCCTGGATTTGTGGCCAAGCTGGCCGGTTGCAAACAGGTGCCAGCAGAAACTGTAGACGAATGATGGCTGAAATTGTTTTGTTCAATGTTCAATAAAAATATGATTTTACATTTTGACTTTTTGTTTCTTTTTCGAAGCACCGTTCATGATGCATGCAGGAACTTGTTTCAACATGTTTGCTTGGTTTGTACTTTGGTATACGGTATACATGATTTTTGACACAACAACATGTCACTGAATCACGCATTGACAGCAAGTAAACTAAAATCAATAAGAATTGAAGGTTCTAGCATAACTGCACTGCGGCGTTGCAACAACCTTTAGTGGCTGAGCGATGCAAATGTCAGGAACTCAGCAAACTCGAGTTTTGTCAAAGCATGATTCAATACATGTTGGCCAACAATGTTCGTGCAATGAATGTTGAATTGGTTGGTGGCTCCGTCAATTCAAAATCTACCAGGTGATCCTGTTTGGGACCCAGTTGGTTTCTTGAAATTGACATTTCGATCATTTCAAACAAGGCGCAAAAGCTCAAATTACAGAATGATACACATGAACCATGTTGCTTTGACTTGGGCCCACCAAGTCCCATTACTTAGTATTAGTTTATTGTCAAACCTTCATTGAGCATCATGTCTCTTAGTATGTCCACGGAATGCAATGCATAACGATTTTCTTTTGCACAGTGCTTTGAATTCCTGACCTTGAGGCCTTTACTCTTCAAGTGTATTGCAGCGCCATCTGGCCTGTCAGGGGCCCCAGCTTGCCAAGTGTGGCACTACTCTTCCAGACGTTGACATATTTCTTGGACCGAGTTATATGTGTTTGACACATTGCTGTATGTTGATCATGCCATGCAGATGTTCCATCATTTGTTGGATGCGGGAAATCTTCGGCCCAAAGTTCGGAGTATGGTGTCGGTGCTGGTATCCATGGCGGAGATGAAACCAAACACTGCACTCCTCATCAAGCCCAAGTGGGCCAATTTGATTTTGGAGGGGAAAAAAAGTTGGGAAGTACGTGGCACAAGTACCTCCAAGCGAGAGGTGGTGGCCCTGGCGGTGAGTGGAACAAAGAAGCTTTGGGGCCAGGCGGAAATCAAGGATTGCATCTTGATTGGTGAACTCCATGAAGGGAAGTTGGTGAAGGGAGATGCTTTGGAGGAAAATTTCATTGGTAACAACAAAAACTTTGACAAGCATCAGATCAGTGACTTAACCATTGTGAAGTACCGGAAGATCTATGCTTATGTCCTGGCCCACCCGGTTCGTTACGAGATTCCCCAGCCATTCAACTACAAGTCTGGCTGTGTGATATGGTGCAGTTTGAAAGATGACAAAGAATCG